AGCTAAAGTTCTAAAGCCGTGCTTAAACTACAAACATAAATTATAAAATGTATTTTAGCAGCATCTTTGTAAAGATCTTCCTCTTGCAATTTTCCATTAACTGTCCTATACACACATAAACAGTCAAATGACCAAAACGGTCTACCCACTTTCAGCAGCTACCACACAGCAGTTTAGGGGCAGGTCTCCTCACTCCTCACCAAAATAAAGGCAGTGAAGACCTTGTTTGCTGTGGAAGTTAGCATTTCATATTTTACCCACCTTAATCTGCACAAAGGGAAGAAAATTTTACCCCTACTGGTTAACTCTATTTTAAAACTGTAAACTGATTTACACGCATGTGTGCATGTTAAGCATTATACACATGTATGAATCTCAACAAATTATTCTCACTTCATAGAAATCATTTTTAAAAGTCCAAGAACAAGATTAAGAGTTAATACAGGGTTTAGCATTTGGAAAAAAATAAATTACATCATTGTACACAAAAATAAACTCAAAATGGATGAGATCTAAAAGGAAAAAATTAAGACTACCAAACTATCAGCCAAATGCAGTTTAATTCCTCTATAAAATGGACGTAAGAAAAATTTTTGCATGGTAAAATGCAATTACATGCTAAATCAAAGGATAAATGAAAAACTGGGAGAAAACATTTTATATACATATATGGGGAAAGAGGGGGCTAATGTCGCTCACACGCAAAGAACTTTTAAAACTGAGGAGACCAAAAAGTCTACAGAAAAATGGGCAAAAGACATAAAAGATAATTCCAAAAAAGTTATAAAAATGGCCCTTAAAATATAAAAATGTATCAGATTTCACTCATAGTAAGAGAAATACAAATTAACATTATATTAAGATACACTTTCATCCAATGGAACGGGAAAATTTCAAAACCTTCATAATATACTCTGCTGGTGAAGCTGTTTGGGAACAGTGACTCTAATATATTGCTGGCAAGCATGTAAAATGGGCCTGGCCGGTGTGGTTTGGTGGACTGAGTGGTGTCCCATGCACCAAGAGGTCCCTGTCAAGGCACATGCTCAGGTTTCTGGCTGGATCCCCAGTAGGGGGCATGCAGGAGGTAACCGATTGATTGTTTTTATCTCCCTTTCCTTTCCGCTCTCTAAAAAAATCAATAAAAACCTATCTTTTTAAATAGTAAAATGGTATAATGGAGAGGACTTTGACAACATTTAACAACACTACATATGCACATGCTCTTCAACCCAGAAATCCAACTTCTAGGAGTTCTCCTAAATATACGTGTATAGCTATATTTCCAGTATTATGAAAATATAAGTGTACAAGATTTTTCACTGCAAACATTATTTGTAACAATAAAGTGCTGGAAACTACCCATGCCCAAGTACAGGAAACTGTTTGAATAAATTACAGTACATACATTCATGGACATAATTACAAAAAGAATGAAAGATACAGAGAACAACTGATGGCAGGAGAGTCAAAGGGGGTGACGAATGGGTGGGGGAAAAAAGCATGAAGAAAATCTCTAAGAACAAACAGAAAGTGATTTCCAGGAAAAACTATTAAGTAAGTTTAAAAAGCAAATTTAAAATCAACATAGATAGTATGCTATCTTTTGTGTAAGAAAGATATCAAAGGATAAATGGAAAACTGGGAGAAAATATTTTATATACATATATGGGGAGAAGGGACTAATGTCGCTAACACACAATAAAATGTACATATATCTGCATCATTATCAAAAAAAAACAAAGAATCAACTAGCAAACAAAAAGGCTGGTTACCTAAAAGGAATGGGGAAGTTGGATGGATGGAAGGGATTAGCATGTCTCTGAGTTTATCTTCTTCGTGGTTGTGACTTTTGGAAACAAATTAATCTTCTACATATTTAAGATAAAAGAAAACCAACAAAGATGGGAAGGGTAAAAATCTAAAACAGAGGGCGAACTGACTGACCCTTATGCAGAGTAGAGAACTAAATAGATATCCTGAAAAATGATTATTTTTATAAAATTTTTTTAGTGGTATGAGCAAAGCAATTTTGAAACTATTTTAGATGCATTACAGGAATTAACAAAAGTAAATCTGTTGATGTTGCTAGGAACCAGGGCTCTCATTGTAGAAGAAGCTACATGTAAATATGCAATAGGGATAGGCAAGAAAAAAATCTGTAAGGATAGACTTGAATTTAAGGTATATGTGAAAATTCAGTTTCTAAAATATGCATATGTATGTCTATGTACACACACAGTACACATGTAGGAATATGTGCATATGTTTGCACACACATGTATATACATATTGTGTATACACACACATATTTCCTAGCTTATCTGCTGAAAAAGTCTAGAAACAAAGATATCTAACACCCAGACTTGGTTTCTAATACCATTCTCCACTAAAAGAAACCAAGGGTTCCTTGGAGAGGTTACAGATTTCAAGATGTGGCCAAGTAGAAGATTGGCCAAAAAGTAAGACAATGCTCCAAAAAAAAAAGATGGGAACATGTCACAAAGATAGATCCAATACAAAAGGTCTGTCAGTGGGCAAATCCGGACAATTTGAGCAACAAAATAATTTTTTTTTATCCTGAAATGTTTTCTTATTTTTTTTATTATTACTCAATTTATTTTTGTTACATACGTTTCTCGTTCTCCCCCCAGACACCTTCCTCCTGTTCCTGCCCCCCCCCCCAGCATTGTTTATGTCCATTGGTTATGTTTACATGCATACGTTCTTTGGTTTATCTCTTCCCTCCCCAACACCTCCTCCTTTGAGGAATAAATTATAGACCACTGGGGTGGGGGTGAGAGAATTCAGTAGTTCACACTAATACAAGATAAATAATTACACAGGAGAGAAGAAAGGGCTCTTACTTACAATAGAGTGACTATCAACTGGTAAGTGTGGGGGGAATGCTGAAGCTGAAAAGTCATGGCTTTGTAGCCATCAAAGTCAAGACTGGTTCAAATAAGAATTATCAACTGTTGTCAGGATGTTAAACCTGACAACTTGAGAGGAGTGAGGAGGGGATTTAGATGCAGAACAGAATACTAACACGATCATAATGTGTTTCTCTGAAGATTGCCTATAAACTGCAAGGGAAAAAAAATAGTAATCAAATACGTAGTGAAAATAAAATCAAACACCATCTTAACCAGTTGATCAAAACTAACATCACCAATGAGGGGCAGATAACCATCATGTGGATGCTCTGAGAAGGACACAAAATCACTGATAAATACAGTCCAGCTAGGAATACATAAGCTGAATCTGATCAGGAGGAAACATCAAATGACCCAAAATGAAGAACATACTGGATAAAAACAATAAAGGTAGGAGGAATAGTATTCTCCAAAAGTGCAAATTTCATTTGAAAAAAAAAAAAAAAAAAGGCTTTATATATGTTCCATATCAAAGGAAACAAAAAACCATTGACAACAAAACACCTGATGCTAGACCTGAAACAAAAATGAAGTGTAAACATTAAAGTATTGCATTAATAGTACATTCACTAACATTGAACACCATACTGTGGTTATGTAAGAGAATATCCCTATTCTTAAGAAATATATATATTGAAGTATTTGAGGGGTAAAAGGATGTGATGGATACAACATTCTTTCAAATGGTGCAGGAAAAAAACATCATGTATATAAACATAAAGAGTCAACAAATGATAAAGCAAGAGACCAAACCTTAACTACAGTTTAGTCTGGGTCAAGGATATGCAGGTGTTCTTTGTTCTATTTTTATTCTTGTAACTTTTCTATAAATTTGGTATTGTTTCCAGTAAAAGGTAAAAGTTGGGGAAGGCACTTCGGATAAGGAAGATAGTAAAGAAAGAAACAGGTAGGATGTTGGGGGTGGATATATGCAGACAGTGGTGGAATAGAAGAGAGACTCACTGGAAGATTCAACAACACAGAAAACCATTACATCAGTTAGATATCTCTTTACTTTTGATACAATTTCTTTCTATTCACAGGTAGTCATAGTCCTCAGGTTAGTTTATGGTGTAATTAATAGCTGGCTGGCAGACCCTAATGCAGAGACAGCTTTATGACAGTAGCATGAGCTCTAGAGTTAGACGGCTTGAATGTCAATCTCATGAAATTTATACACTGTATAACCTTGGCCAAGTCACTTAACCTCTCTCTGTGCCATAATCTCCTCAGGAAGATTTTTAAAAGTATCTCCATGTTAGTTGTTGTAAGAATTTAATTAGACAGAAACATTAGAGTACAGAGAATAATACCTGAGGTTTACTATTCAACAACTGTTAGCAATTACATCATCACTGCTTACAAAGTTTCTGATGGGGAATAATGACTGCAGGGAGAAACTCCAACCACAAGCATAATTTGTTTCCACACAATCTAAGTCACAATGACTTCAGACAGACAAACCTAAATATGAGTACTCCCTAGGTATGGACAAGACAGAGAAAAAATGGGCTGGAGCAAGAACATGTCTTCGGAGAGTCAGATGAAGTAAACTTGGAATTGTAGGACTCCCACACAGATTTAATTACCAGGATATCCAATCAAGTGTGTACAGAACCCAGATGGCGGCCTCAGCAGCCAGGCTTTTATAAACTTGCACAAGACAAATCAAAGATAAGGCATATTAACTATTTTTCTCTAAGTATATGGTTGTCAATTTTAAAAGATGAACACATTTTTTTTGTCACTCAAGTCTTTCTTCTCCCCAAGAATTTTCCTATTTAAATAAACTATATAGTTTTACATTTCCACAATGTATGATATTGCAACGTGTGGTACGCTTCCCCCTAGTGGTGTACTTGAGGAAAAAACACAAATTTCTATCAGCATCATCTTTGAATGTGTAAAATACTGGCTATTACAAAAATATGTGGTTATCTCTTAGCCACTAACTAATGATAATTAAAAGACTCTTCTGTCCATTTAGCAAAAATATTACTATGACCTTGACTTACATAAACAAGCAACATCTCTACACTAGCTTTAACAGTTAAATAAAAATACCTGTTCCAACAAATGGATCAAAAACAATATCATTTTCTTTCACTTTTCCATGGTTGGCCATGATAAATGATAACCCAGCATCCATGCTTGTATTTCCAATAAAGTGTCTCTTTTTGACACTGTAGGACTCAATGAGCTCTCTTTGTCCATCTGCAATCTAGGTCAGAGATATTTTTCAAATTAGTGTAACTGTACAGAACAGATTTAAGATTTAAGATAATCATTCACAGTGAAAACTACCACAGTATATTGATGATGAAAACTTCTTTCCACTTACTACTGCTCTAAACTTGTTCTTTAAAAAAAAAAAAAAAAAAATGTGGAGCCCGGCTGGTGTGGCTCGGTGGATTGAGCATCGTCCCATGGACTGAAGGTCCCGGTTGCATTAATGGTGAGGGAACATGCCTGAGTTGCAGGCTTGATCCCCAGTAGAAGGCATGCAGGAGGCAGCCGATCGATTTTCTCTCTCACATCAATGTTTCTATCTCTCTCTCCATTCTTCTCTAAAAAATAAATTAAAAAAAAAAAGAAAATGTGAACAAACATCTTTAGTTTTAGTGTATTGTCATTTACTTTGACTTTTCAAATCAAATTTGAATTTAATTTAAATGCAATTATTGCAGGGGTTTGTGGTAAGCTTTATCCATATTTTTTCTCCTAAATAACAACATTCTGAAACAAACCATAGCTTCCACTCACCCACTTAGAGCCTCAGGAAGTGGGCAGAACTCCCGCAGTCCCTTCATTTCTTTTCAGAAAGGGAACCTAGACGGGGAGCTCCACAAACGAGATCCCTCCGCTATCACTGCCTCTGCCCTCACTCACTTCAGTAAAAAAAGCAGTTCAGACTTTCTGACAAGTCTTGTGTTAATGTTTCCAGGTACACCACCTCCTACCTGGGCCCTAAATCTCTAGAAAAACAAACAACAAAAAACATATAAGCACATATTTTTCACTGACTTTAGTTCATACAGTTCTGACTCTTCAGCTGCTATAAATTTCTACATCTAGAATTAAATAAAAAAGCCCAACATTTGGCTTTGAAATAAAATATACTGAAATAGGTAAAAAGAACACCTCCTTACCCATCTACCAAAATAAATATTATGTGGATTCTCGGGAATGCAGTTTGGGTCCAAACCATAATCCTCCAAAACAGAGAATATATGCTGTGGCTTCTTTAAATTTACTTTTCCTTCAAATGGCAGAAACTCAAGAGCCTAAAAAATAAAAGTATTCTAATGTCCTTAAAAATGTAAAGGGAAAACAGTGCTTATGTAATAACAGCTATCTTATTAGTTTGGTATCAGAATTCAATAAGACAAAACATAAAATATGCTCAGCACATAATGTGCTACAAAACGAGCACCTGACAGACACTGGGACTATTATCAACAGGGGCCAGACCACATTAATCTCACAGGCTTTTCAGTTTTTGCTCAACTCACTTACATCTATTCGTTTGACTTTTTCTTCTTGTGTCAATGTTTTATTGAATGTGTGAATCTTTATTTTATATGTTGAGTCTGAATGTAGAAATGGAACCTAAAATAGAAGCAGATAAATTCTTTAAGCTTAGTAATTCTACAGTATCTCCAGACATACATGAAAGCACATGTCACTACGCACCATCTTCTCCACAGGGTAGTTTTTAAGGGAACTGTACAGCTCCTCTGGAGATTTTCCATGACCCCATAGCTCAAATATGGACCTAGGAAATAAATGATTATACTAACTTCAGTTAAGAAATGAGTTCACACAGTAATATGTAACAATGCTTTCACTAGTTCTTTATGCTCACTACACTAAAATAATCATTGCCTCCATTTTCTAAACTAGAAATGAGAAATATGTATCCTGCAAACAAATACAGCTTAAGTCAAATCACACACAGGAGTTGAACTTTACACACAAGGAGATAAATTTATCAGAAGTCAAGATTTTTCCAACTTTTCATCATTATAATTTCTACACTAGAACACTAATGATAAAGTAAAACCACAGAAGTTATTTTAGTGAAACGAATAAAAAGTTGCAGGAAATTCAATTTTTCTCAGTGTCTTCTGCATAAAACAAACAAAAAAAAGACCCGATAAAAATGTTACTGTTAATATTTAGCTATTACTTACTAACAGTTAGTAACTAATAATCACTTTTATAACTATTACAGAAATTCTTATATAAAAAAAATTCTCAAGTTTCCATGTATTTCATGGAACACTTAAACAATTATAAGTAAAATTTCATTGCAATCAATGAAACAGTTCTTAGAATTAGTTGCAAAAGAACTCGGTGTATATATTAGCACAGTTCTGTGCACCTAAATTTAAACTACTTTATAATTGTAATTAACAATGCCATGAGAATTGAGATTATCCTCTGAAAATAAATTCCTCCTTTCCTTTGTATTGAATTCATAGAAAGAGGGCCTCAATAAGTAATTCTACTGTTACATAGCTATTACTTAAAGAGTGACCTCAGCTGTACAAAACACACAGAGAATAAAAAGCAACAACAAATATTATTCAAAATAGACGTTCCAAAATTCCATGTATTCAATTTTTTTCTTATTTTTAAAGCTTAAAAATGATAAGATTGGTCAATTCACTAGCTTAATATTTATTAAGTGTTACTATATGACAGGAACTGTTCCAGGCACTAGGACACAACAAAGAACAAAGCTTACTGCATTCATGAAAACTAAGGGAGAAGAAAGACTCCTAGAACATTAACTGAGGAAAAGCATAAGTAACTCAACTTCTGGAACGGAAATAACTTAAAAAGCAAAAAGAGTAAGTAAGAGCTAACACTTAATACAATTCAAAGAACAAGGGCTGTTCTAAGGCCATTTAGTGTTTATTCACTTATTCCTTATAGGAGCCCTATGAGGTAGCTGCCCAATGAGAAAACTGAGATATAAAGATATTAAATAACTCTCAAGTCATACAGCAATTGAAACTTGGATTCAAATCCAATCCATCTGACCCCAGACTCCATGCTCTTTATCACTATCTCACACTGCTTCTCGAAAATAAAAATGCAAAAAAGCAGGAATCCCAGGCCATTCAGGAAAGGTACATACAGTTCCAGATCATAATTATCCCTAATGAACTATTATACAGTATAACATAAGAACCAATGCTTGTAGTGATAATCTAGAATCAATAAAATATAAAATAATACTCCTCTTTTACTGAATGAATTTATAAGCCATTAACAAATTTATATTTTAAATGTTCAAAATAAAACATTAAACAAATAAGAACCTTCAGTTAAAACTGGAATATTAATATATGGTAATACCTTTTATGATATAGATTTTCAGAGTGAAGTTTACATATGTAAGAATGCACTGCTATGATCCCTAATTGAGAGATTATAAAGTTTACACAGATTGCCTCATTTCTCTTGGGTACTACATAAATAAGCATAATGTCAAGCTTATTAATATAAAATCGATGATGAGCAATATAATAAAAGCTTCCTGACACAAAGGCTTTAAGAAACTATCCTTTGAGGGAAGGAGGGGGATGGGAAAGGTGCACAAGGAGCATCAATGGTTTCTATAAAACATATTTTTTCTTAAAACAATAAAAGGTATGGCAAATATCTCAAAATGTTGAGATCTAACAAGGTAGACACCTAAGTGTTTTCGATATTTTTCACTCTTTTTGTGGTATGCTCAAAATATTATATGTCAAAAATAAATCAACAAAATTAACTTTCAGTACTTAATCTACCACAAAAAATTTTTTTTGAATTAATGTTAGTTTTAAATCATGCTTATAAGTCAATTTTAGTTCTAGAATAATTAGTGCTATAATTAGGATTATGAATTTTATCCTGAGAAAATGAATCGGTCCTTTTCTTTCGATTAAATTTATAGAGAGAAGGCCTCTATAGTGATAGTACTCTAACTTAGCTGTCACTTAAGGTATAACTCAGCTATGCAAAATTCACAGAGAATACAAAGCAGCCAAGGAAATTATTATATAATATCATTAAATCATTGCAAAATTATTAATTGTACCATTTATCAAATATATGCGACAGAAGATATGAGCTTTGAAGAAAGTGTATAAGTTCTTGGTCCTCAAGTAGCTGTGTTAAACCTAATAAACCATATTTTTGGAAATCAAACACCTCTTAGAGCCATAACTTTTAATATGCTAAAGTAATTATTAATTAAGGATGTGATTTTTTAGTCACGTTTCCATTTTCTAGTCATTTTTATTGAATACATTAGACCCATGAACAAGCTTCAGCTGAAGAGATTAGATTTAGTACTTGTGGCTAGTTTTCAATAGGATACATTTAAAGAAATATGGGGTTAGTCTACTCAATAATACAACAACTATATATCATGTTGTAAAACAATGCCAACCATGTTAATAAAACTAGATATATGTAAATTTGTATTTGCACTGAATTGTTAAATATTATAATTTTTAAGGAAAGAAGATATTCAGAAGAAAAGAAAAGCAACTCAAAGATAACACAAGCTGGTCAAATTTTAAGATGCATGTTGAAAATACAGTTTAATTTTCAAGCCCAAAGACAGAAAAATTTCCAATAATAAAAAAAGAAGAAATGAAAGGAGAAAACAGCAGATGCCAACGATAAATTCTAGAAAAATTCAAGTACGATAAACAATGAACCACATAATTACATTACGCCATACCAAATTGTGATCATCAGAATTCCTCTAACAAATAAAACAGAAAAACTTATTTCATGGAGGTCCACCCTTTTTGTCATCTTGCACTTCACCAATCTGGTCATCCAACTAAAACTCTTCTATAAGAAAAACATTTTTAGATTTTCAATGCTTTGGTTATAATTAATTGTGGGATTTATCCTAGGTAATAACATAGCATTTACATCTTATTCCATACTTCTGCTTAATATAAAAAATTATTGTAAAATAAGTGTTTCTGCATTCACACTGAGATTCACCCTGTTTCAGTAGGTCACTCTCCTGTTCCCCCACCCCCATCCAGTGGCAAAAGCAGGAAACTGCACGCTAAATTGAGCTCCCCCCTAAACTTCTACTTTGTGTCAATATAGCAAACAGCAGGGCAGAGTAGTTATGAGAAGTACTGTATACACTCATGCAGGAGAACATCTTAAGTTTTTCTTACTTGGCACATACTGTTCGTTTCATTAAGTTTCTGGCAATATCTTCAGAGGGAATACTAAGAATCCAAAAAGGAGACTGAAAGAAAAAACAATATACAACTTACTTCTAAGACGTTCTCTGGTCTCGTATGCTTTTATTCAAGAAGTCAATACGGAGATATTTCTATTTAGTGCTAATGGGTCTAAGCCTGTTAATGGATCAATACGTGATCTGACGCTAACCAAAACTGAAACTGCTCTAATAGTAAAAAATAAATTATTTTAATAGGTAATCTGTCAGGATATTATAGCATGATGTCAGAACACTGTTTTATAAATGACTCTATAAATGAAAACATCAGCAAATTTAAGGTTAAACTTCAGGTTAATTTTGTAGTTGCTCTCTTATATAGTTCAACCAAAATAATTAATGCATATAAAATCCCAAAGTATAATTCTGAAATTTTTTATTATTGGTAATCATTCCTTATAATACAGCTATTTTATTTCTAACTTCTAAGCAATGTACATCTATGAATAATCCCTCTTTTTCTAGGTAGTTGTGGCCACCTGAGTTGGGGGAAGGAGACTCTGAAAATAACTATGATGAAATAGAATTATTAAATTATCATTAATTTTTTTTTTATTCTAGCTAAGAAAAAAATTATAGGTGCATCAGGAGGATTTCCTTCAAACCCTGTCTCAAGACTCAAATTATAGATACCTTTCCATAACACAGCAAAACCCAGCAGGATCCTGACCTTAGTTCATCACCCTCATCCAATTACATACACACTCTCCCTCTTTCCCTCCTTCCTCAACAAGTGAAATCACTCAGAAGTACAAGTCCAACATCGGGAACTTTTCTCTCATCTTTTGCAAGAAATACTCCCTTGCCACACCCAGTCTTTCTTGTTTCAGTATTTATAGTACCTACAAAAAAATTCCAAATAATCCGAACAGGAAAAAAGATGGTCATCCTAGTACTAGGAAAAATTTAAAAGCAACCTGGGTGAAATGAAATATTAGATAAACCATGATAGAGCTAATCAATGGAAAAGATTATACAGCCCTGTTAGTGATGAAGGCTATGTAGCAACATGTGCTTATATTAATCTAAGCAATTTAAAATCAGGCTGCAGAAGTACATAAGCATTACAATGGGGGGGAGGGGAAGTCCAAGAAAAAAGATTAAAAGACAGTATTCCTAAATTATAAGTCATGTCAAGAAGAAAGAATTCTAAATGTATTTCTTTTTCTATTCCCAAACTTCTCTAATACAGTGATAAACTATCAAATACAAAATAGAAAGCTCATAAATTCATACATCTTACACACATACAATTTCACATTTTAAAATGAACAGCAATATAAGCCTGAAATTCAGCTAAATTCCAACTCTAATTATACCTCCTCAGAGAAAGCCAGCCCTTTGTTATCCATTCACTACTGATGGACACTTAGGTTGCTTATAAAATGGACTACTACTCGGAGGTAAAAACAAAAGGAGGAATTACCCTTTTCAAAAACATGGATGGACCTGGAGAGCATTATGCTAAGTGAAATAGGCCAGTCAGAGAAAGACAAGTACCATATGATTTCACTCATATGTGGAATCTAATAAACAAAATGAACTAACAAGCAAAATAGAGACAGGCTCATAGAAAGCAGGCTGACAGCTCTCCAGGGGAGTGATGGGGGGCTGCGTAGGGCGGTAGAGGGATTGAACAATAAAAAAAGAAAAAAGGAGATAAAACTCATGGACTCAGACAACAGTGTGGTGCTTGCCAGTGGGGGGTGGTATGGAGACATGGAGGAGGGTATGGGGGGATAAAGATGATGAAATAAGGCTTGACTTGGGGTGGTAAACACACAACACAGTGTACAGATGATGTGTTGTGGAACTGTGCACCTAAAACCTGAATAATTTTGTTAACCAGTGTCAATCAAATAAATTCAATAAAAAGGAAAAAGAAAAAAGCCAGCACTTTTTTCAATTAAGGACCAGATACAAATTATGGCACAACTGTTGAATTAAAGTTTATAAACTAATAAGTAAATACTGGAAATAAATCTAAATTATTTTCCAAAACCATAATTTTCTTCCAAAATATGTTTTTTTATTCAATTGCCCCCTAGAAACAGCCACAAGTAACCACTCAAATACAAATTTAACATTTGCAGTTCTTCTCTTCAAATCCAAGGTTCTATTTATAAGTATATTACATACGATTTAATGAAAAATATAAATTCAACTTACCTTTCCATAAGTTTCCTGACTATTGGTGAACTGGCCTCCAAAAAGTGAAAGCAAAGACTTTATTTCCTATATTGAAAATATTATAGAGAATATATTTTACCACAGGTAACTCAAAGTCTATTAAAAGACATAGGTATAATACAATAAAAATGAAAAGAGTGGGTTGATGATCTACCTAAAGCATTTAAAGTTCAATACTATACAAATTATACCTCCAGGTTCTGAAAAATATTTTGAGTCACAAATAGTAGGTAATTTCTGAGAAATTTTATGCAACAGGAGAGTTGCCAAAAGATTTCATCAGAAAATGTCCTGATTTTGAAAAGAAAAACAAATAGATTGCAAGCACTTTGCAGTAGTAAATCTGATACTAGAGCAATAAAAATAAATTACATAGATGATTTGAGAATGTTCAGAAAAGCAATAACATGTTTGCAAGCGTGTTTAGGATTCTCTTTTCTTCCCTTTGAATCTTAGTATCATAAACATTTTTCTCTTTTACATCAGTATTGCAAATTTTTCAGTAGGAAACAATATACTTTAGGTAATCATTTAGGTGGTTTTCAATTTTATCAGTTTAAAATAAGGTTAACATACACATTTCAAGAATATATGGCCTTTCGCATGTTTTGAATTTCTTCAGGAGTCACAATAAGTAGGGTTACTATATCCAGAGATATGTAATTTTTATAGCTTCTTATAGTATATATAGCCAAACTACTTTCTTAAAGGCTTGTCCTAAATTATAATGTAAGAGAGCATCAATTTCCATTCACTACTTCTCAACTGGATGCTGGACCTTTTTTTTTTTGTCAATTGATTTTTAAAAGGCACTTTAATTTGTTTATTACTAGCACAGTATTTTTAATGTATTGTTTACAAGCCATATTTGAAACCATTCTTTCTCTAGAAACTAAAATCACTAGTGATGTATTAATTTATGTAATAATTGGTAAAATCGATAATTTTACCAAATAACAAAGCAAGAGTAATGAGTCCCATTGCAAATTAACTTTGCTGTCTTGTTCAGTTAATCAGATGAATAAATATATGTTGAATTTTAAAAATAAAATAAATCAACCAGGGAGCATCACTGTGAATTAATTAAGCACAAATTATGGTAAATTAACCTTCTCCTTCCTCTTCTTTCTAGATACAGTTATAGAACTAGAAAAAGAACACAGTAACTACTTCAAAAACATCAGGCATACAACATTAAAATCTGTCAGATTGTATGTATAGTCTATGAAGCCATCACTTTGTGTTGATAAATGCGAGGTGGCTATACAAATGTTATGATTTGTACAACTAACAAATTTTGTCTCCTGAAATAACAAAAAGCAGGTATAATCCCACTCCATGCAGTACTTACAGAGGAGGTAACCAAATGAGGTACGTACGTGTCCCCACTGCTGGGTGCCCACAATCCCAGCTTGGAGAAGGAGCCTTTAACACCAAATCATTGTGACCCACAGCCGCCATCAGAGAAAAAGTATACTCAGACCACAAAGCTCCTCCACCTCAACACCAAAAATGGGAGGTTTGAGAAACTAGTGCCTTTTCTGTTTTTCCTTTTGTCTATGCAACAAACTTTTTTTTTAAATTTCTGGTATTAGAAGGGGCTGAATTCACTTTAATCATATGTCCAGAGGAAGAACTAGTGGAGACCATGAAGGTAGCTCCAAAGATGTTTTGCAACATGGGTGACACAAATTTGACTAGGAGGTTTATCATTGGGCTTGGGAGTCAGACCACAATTTGGCTTTTAGTAATTCTAAATAGTACCTTTTTTTTTTTTTTAATCCTCACCCAAGGACATTTTTCCATTTTTTGTTCAGATAGAGTGGGAGGGGGAGAGAGGAAGAGAGAGAGAAACATTGATATGAAAGGGACACATCAAATGGCTGCCTCCTGCACGACCCAACCAGGGCCAGGGTCAAACTGCAACAGAGGTACGTGCCCTTAGCGGGAACCGAACCCAGGTCTCTCCGGACCGCAGGCCAACGCTCTAACCGCTGAGCCAAACCGGCCAGGGCAGTAATTCCAAATAGCAGCTCTGTGGTTTTAAACCAAAAAGTTTTCTTCGACTCCCAGATCCCTCATCTGTAAAATAGGAATCATAGCTACCTCGTGGGGTAAGAAGATCTGTAAAAGGAGAGCACAGGACCTGGGGTATTATTAAAGGAATCAAGATTGTGGTGAGCACAACACTGTCCTTGAAGTCCAGTGGCTCAAGAAATCAAGCAAGACTCAAGAGTTGCAATACTTAGAAGAAAAAATGAAGTTACATATTAAGTTACTTGGTATAGAATGATTATTGTTCATTCTGTATTAAAGCATATTGTAAAATTAGCTTTACATTTAAAACATCAAAGTTTGCTGTTCCTGGAATACACTGTTAAAAATCAACAGCAGAATAAAATACAAAGGCTCAAAGAGGTTTTTGCTTTGTTTTTTCAGTGGAGGATTATTGAAGTTTTATGGCATAACATTAGCTCTACTTCCTAAACCCTAAACCCTAAGCAATGACTTAAAAGTGAGAATAAAGGTGCCCTGGCCAGTTTGGCTCAATGGTTGGAGAGTTGGCCTGCGGACCAGAGAGTCCCGGGTTCGGTTCCCAGTAGGGGCACATACCAACAAAAAAAAAAGAAGAAGAAGTGAGAGTAAATCTGATAACCAAGCTTTAAATTTAAAAGCAAAACATGTATTAAACTACTCCACTGAGCTACATGAAAAAAGCAAAACATAAGATTTTTATTCATCTTATGGCAAATTCACTTTCCAGTTGAGAATCTTTCTACATTAGAAACAAAAGGATTCACATTGGACATTGGATATAAAAATATGGCATGATCTGGAGCATTCCTGATGCATTAATTCACATGAGTTTTTCAGTTCTTTTAGTCACCTTTTCAACCATTTAGTTTGCTTCAGAATCAGCAATAAAACCAAGGTGTCTGAACTTTACTTTTAATACAATAAGCAGCTACCAACTAAAATTGGTCCTGAATAACTTTAGAGGTAAAATTGGACCACACTTGCATTCCTAAACTCTCATTTAAAATCATTACAGCTTTCCTGCCTACTAGCACTTCTAATACAGTCGATGGGCCCCAAAATGTAGGCTGTCCTTTTGACTGCCTTCTCCAAGGGATCCTATTTCACTCAATTCAGTATTTATTTTTTTATCCTCACCAGAGGACATTTTTGCATTTATGTTCAGATAGAGAGGGAGGGAGAGGGAGGAAGAGAGAGAGAAACATTAATGTGAGAGAGACACATCGAGTGGTCGCCACCCACATGACTCCATCCGGGGCTGGGGACAAACCACAACCGAGGTACGTGCCCTTAGTGGCAACTAAACCCAGGTCTCTCTGGTCCACGGGCCGACTCTCTAACCACTGAGCCAAACAGACCAGGGCCGATTCAGTATTTATTAAACAACATATACATTCAAGGCTCTGAGCTTTGTAAAGATAAATATATATTTATCCTCAGGGAGTTTAAGGTCTAGTAGAACTAACATAATCTCCTGACATGCAAGGTGTAAAACAGTGAGAGCTCTTAAAGAAGCAAAAGCAAAAAAGTATTACATTAGAGTACAAGGCAGGAAAAGATTACTTGAGTTTTAGAAGAAAAGTTTCAATGAAAACTGACTTCAGCCCTGAAACTCAGGGAGAATCTATATATATGCGAGAGGATTTCCACTTCCAGTGATGGAAAACTAGATAATTCAGATTAAGCCTTCTGCTGAGAAGAACTAAACAAACCTGACATCTGCTAGAGGCATGGAGACATTACAAGAATTACCAAACCAAGATTTATGAGAGGACAGAAAGCCCAAGGTGCAGTCACTGGCTCCCCAGGACATTTGTCTACCTTCACAGCTGATAGGAAGGTACATAACCCTTTTGACAGCTTAAACAAGCTAGATGGACAAAAAGAGTATAGGGCCACTCGATGGGATGGAAAAGAGGTTGATAAACCACTCAGCTTAGATTGGAATCCCCAAAAGCTACAAACCCTAGGAGTACATGTGAATCAGAACACAAAACAGAACTTAATGCCTGAAAGTGCGCTGGTGATCCTAGATTGTTACGATCCTGTGTGCTCCTATCTTCTTCTTCAAGCATTTACATCATCCTAGGCCTCATATTATTTCTTCAAATACATTTTCAGATAAGGCATTTGGCACATATTTAAAAAGTAACCCAGTACACATATGAAAAAGAACAGGAAAACAAAAAACCCATACACAATAGAAACAGGACCCCTTTTATCAGTCACATGCTTTAACATAATTGTGCTTTCTATGTTGAAGGGAATAAAAGACAAACTCGAGAACTCTGCAGAGGATGAAAAACTCTAAAACAGGGAAATTAGCAATAAACAAATATGTAGGTAAATCTAAATGAATATTGACTAGTATATAAAATCAATAGATTGAAGAATGAGAAAGGAAAGATACAAACCAGATAAAATGCAGCATAGGCCAAAGCAAGAAAATAGATGTCACTCAGGGAAATAATGGAGAATCAGATTTGGTTGCACGGGGAGAAAAGGAAGAGAGGGGAGGGTGGGATGAGGGGGTTACAGAAGAGGGAACCATGTAGTGGTGGGCCTTGAATGCCAAACTAAGGGATGTCAGCCTTAGGGCTATGAGGATATATAACTTGGGAGATTGGACTAAGAATTTAGTTAGGAAGAAACAGGTAAAATCACCAAGTACCAGGGATGTTATTTTTTAAGACTGCAGCCTAACCACTCCCTTCTCAAAGCACTGCCTGACCACAGACACTCACTCTAGTTCCACTCCAGTATTCCTCTAAGCAGTATCCTTTCTCTGACACTCCAGAATTATCTTTCTATAATAGAAATGATTACTAGTCACTTCCTGGCTTAAAAAAGTTGATGGCTCCCATTTATCTTAAAATTAAATCCAAATCCTTGCAAAGGTTTTAAAATACTCCAAGATCAGCTTCCTACCCACATCTCTATCCTCATTGCTTACACATCCTCCCCTCACATCCCACATGCCAAACCACCATAATCAACTACGCTTCTGTGTCTGTACATTTGCTACTGTTTCTCACTGAAATGGGCTTTCAAGTTCTCTCCACCCACAGAACATCTCCTTTATCAATCAAGACCTAACTAAAATATTACTTCCTCAATGAATCTATACCCTTGCACCCCTATCTTGCCCATGTGCCTGCCCAGCAGAACATTAATTCTGAATGCCACAATCTTCCTTTATAACTCTTAAGGCCCACAAACTGAGCACAACTGAAGAAAATCACAGAACCTGGAAAAATTCAAATACAGGATCTTCACCCTTGGCTAGGTTTTCAGCATTGCTCTAACACCTGTATTCTTCTCTAAGCAAACGTTCAACTTGTCAGCTCCTTGTTTTGCTCTCAAAGATTATTTCAGCCCTGACCGGATTGGCTCAGTGGTTAGAGCATCAGCCCATGGACCAGAGAGAACAGGGTTTGGTTCCCGCTAAGGGCACATACTTCAGTTGCAGTTTGTCCCCAGCCCCGGTTGGGGTTGTGTGGGTGGCAACCAGTCGATGTGTCTCTCTCACATGGATGTTTCTCTATCTTCCTCCCTCTCTCTCCCTCCCACTCTATCTGAAGATAAATGCAAAAATGTCCTTGGATGAGGAAAAACAAAAAAGATTATTTCAAATTTTATGATTTTTCTCTATTTCTCCATAAAACTGCTTTGTCTCTCATCTCTCAATAACTTTGACTTATTCATTACCTAGAAAACAGGCCCTGGGGCAGCTACCCCACACCTATCTTTGTTTCTATTGAAAGACCAACATGTCCTCCAGCTGTGACTTTATACACATTTCCCCATCTCTTCAGCCTATTAACAAGCCAATCTCTGGGGGAATGGGTCCTCCCTTGACCCTAGGTGCCTCAAATTGTTAATCAGTCTTACTTTCCCTCCTTAAGCTCTATTTATTATGCTCTAGTTAAGAAGAGTAGTCTATCTCCCCTTCCTCATCTTTTGGGACCACTAAACGAAACAATCAAGCCTCCCCCCACCCCCACCCAAAAAAAACTCTACACACAGCTATAGCAAAATTCCTAAAGCTACCCTCCAGGTTTCTGTGGCCTCAGACCCTTCCCGTTATGATACCTGCCTATCTTCTTGACCTCCTCACTTCTCCTTAATATAATTATTTCTAAGCACCTGTATTTGGCTCACCACTCTTTGGACATTATGCTTTCTCTGAACAATTTCATTTTCTCTCCTAGTGTTCATAGTCAGAAGACTCCCAAATATTTATTACCAGCCCAGACCATTCTATCATGCTCTGTGCATACTCATATACGTATTCACTGCCTCCTAATCATCTTCACTTGATGTTACACTTGATATATCCACTCCAGAACTAATCCATGATTGAACCCTCTTCCCCTCCATGTTCAAACATCAAGCCCTGATCATTTTATCACCATTTTGCCAGTCTATTCCATCCTCTTACCCCTTGCCCTAGTTCAGGCCTTCTTAATCTATTACCAAGACTATTCCAACAGACTAACTGGTCTCTGATTCTAGATTTATTCCCCTCAAATCTATCCTCTGTGTTGCTGCCCAAATGTCTTTAAAAGAAAAATCTGATTCTTTCACTTTACTTAAAACTCTTCAATAAATTCCACTTCCAAGCTCCAGGATATTGAAGGATTTGGATTCTCTGGCCCTTTTTTACCTCTCCCATCTTCTTATCACTCTCTGCTACATATTTCATAATTCAGTAATAAAAACAGCCTGCACTTCTAACTTACTTATTTCTCTCCTTGACCTGGTTAACTCCTACTCATCCTTTGGTTACTGTTCATGGAAACCATCTCAGAGGCCAACATCCTCCAACCCTCAGGTGGATTCGATTCCCTTTCTATGTATTCTCACGTTTCCTTGCGCACCTCTCCTATCACTGCACTTACCAGCGTTACTTTATAATGGTATGTTTATGCATATGCCCAGCCTTCTGCCTAAACAGTAAGCTCCTTGGGGATGGAAACTGTCTTTGTCACCGTTATATCCCCAGCGTTCTGCATATTCAATTACAGATTCTCTGAAAGTGTTTCTTGAGTTAATAAATAATACACCTTTCCCAACGTCTCTATCAACTAAGCCCTACCACTCAGCACCACCACCCACCCTCCCTCAGAGAGTTTGACCAGCGTATGTGATACTTAAAACACTGCACTGAGCATTTCTGTCGGCTGTCTTTTCTCCGCTAGACGAAGAGACCTTGGAGAAGAGGTCTTATTCACCGAACTCCGGTACCTGGCACCCGGGTAGGGGAATGAATGAAAATGCTAGCAAGGCTGAGAAAGTCTGTCTGGGATTTCTCTTCCACACACTCTTCGCCGAGCTGGGGCCGACCCAGGGGCCGCGGGACTGGGGATGCGTGATACCTCGGACTAGCACGCCCTGGGTCCTTGCGTGCTCGGGGTGCCGGCTCTCCGCCCCCCGCACGCCAACCCCCACCGCGCCGTACTCTCCGGTAGGAAGTTGCGGAGGGTTGTGCAGGCTCACCGGCAGGCGGAACTCCAGGTGCTCTTGTGCCATGAGCAGCAGATACCTGTTCAGGGAGCACGGCGGCGCCATTGCAGCCGCCACCGTGCGCACGCGCAGCCCGCGCGGGGTCCCGCCCCTCCTTCCCCAAGAGAGTCGTTTCCGCTGAGGCGGGGCTTGAGGACCGGAAGCGGAAGCGAAAAGAGGTGAGCGCCGTCCCTTGGATCCTCGCCCTGCCACTGGAGCCCCGCGACCTCTGAAGGGGTTCCCGCTGCTGCTAGGCGCTTTCTCGCTGCGGTCCCCAAGAACGAGCAGCTCGTGGGAGCGGCCGCGTTGTGTTCAGAAGCTGATTGCGATAGGACAGGCTACTCCCCAGGGGCCCTCCCACCTGCGACGTGCTTCCAACGTGCTCTACAGCCTCTTCAACCCTAGTTCTATGGAAAATGAACTGAAATTTCCCCTTGTCGTGCATACTTTCCAACGATTCCAGGCTTTGAGGACTGACTGACTGACCTGGACCACTCATTTAACACTTTGTATACTGACTGTACTTTTGCAGTAACTTTTTAAGGATACATGCCTTGTAAGACAATTAGAATAAGCTCTTGAGGACCAAGACCATCTCTTATGGTTCATTCTGTATCTCACTGAAAACAAAACAATGTCCTCCTCAGAGTAAGTACTCAATAATTACGAGGTTGTGATGCTAGACTCCCATGACCACACCCAACTGTATGTTCAAGCAATGATGGCAGGTGCTTCTAACTATTCACTCTGGCACAGTTATCGTAGTAGCACATAAATGAGTAGTTGCATATTCATAAATTTTAATAATTTGCATACTCTATGTATGTGTTGTTGCTTTTGAGAGTACTGAAACCTTTGAGTTATTGAACACTTTCTTTTGCGTTGTAGTTGATACTTAAGTAGTAGTGATTAAGAACATAAGCTGTGGTGTCAGTCTTAGGTTCAAACCTCAGTCCCACTATTTACCAACTATGTGCTGTAAACAAATTTCTTAGCATCTTTTAGCCTGTTTTATCTAAAATGGAAAAATACTGCCTCTCTCAAGGGATCACTACAATTAAGTGAAGTAGTGTACATTACAGTGTTTAATATAATACCTAGCATATTGTATGGGGCTGATAAATGGCATTTAAGGAGATTTTCCTTCTCTTAAAAAGAAAAACGAAAAAAGAAAGGAAGAAAAAAACCATAGAATTTTTCTTAACACACAATCTGCCTTTGTTAGGAAAATGTCTTGATAAGTACACTTGAGGTAAGGGAGTCCCTGAGAATAGATGTCTCTTGGCCCGTAGGTTTCAGAGATGAGAATTAAACACTCTATGAGACATGGAAAGGAAGTTGTGTACTCTTGGAGAAGAGAGGCCAACCAAGGTGGGACAGAGAACCAAGGAAGTGTTAGGTGAAGGGTGTGTAATGCTTGATATATCCTATCCCCAAACACTATCAAAATTACCAAACATATGAGATTTTGATGGAGCATCTTTTTAAAAAATATCAAAGAGGTGTTGGTTTTCATACCAAGAATAATATGCTGTGCAGAGACAGAAAATGAGAATACAGGGTGTAGGAAAACCCAGATGAATTCAAGTTTCATTTATTTTTCATATGGGATCTTTTGAGCTAAGGTTCACGACTAAATCCCTACTAATTCTTCACTCTAGAAATAAGCAGGAGAGTATCTACATCATGAATCTCATAAACTATTGGATATATGGTCTGGGGAAATAGAAATTAAACCTGCACAGGCCATTAGAGTTAGTGTAAAAATACCCTGAGGTCTATTAAACTACCTTTGAAGGACTCACAGGCAGACCTGTTCAATGTTTTTGAGTTTACTAGAGTAGTTAAAGAGCCACAGGAGTACGGACGTTGGAAATTGGTGTTCAAACTAGAATCTAGAAACTTGCAAAAATTTTTTTAAATTTGAACTGAAAGGGGCAAGGAGGTTCATAGTCTGTCTTCTGGGAACTGATCCAAAGCTCGATCCCTGCTTCATCTACAAGGGCAGAACTCTAAGAGACTTGGCTCCTCCCATGAGATTACTGTTGTGCAAGCATTGAAGCCTCTGGTACAGACTGCCGATTAATTTAAAAAAAAAAAAAAAAACCAGAGACATTGCTGGGAAGTAAGGACCATGAATTAGAGAAGAGTGTGTTGTGTTGTGTTGTGTTCTGATTATAACAAGCCACTACAGTGTTGAGACTAGTAGGACACAGAGTCTGTGAAGAAAGGAAATGACCAGAGAGTGAACAGTTCCCAACATCAGAGGTCATGTGCAATGTCAAAACTGCTCATACATCTGTATCAGATGGAGCACCTAATACCTAAAAAGGGGTTGGGTATCACAGAGAACTACAGGGATTTGTGTGCCAATGAGATGGAGAAAACTTATCTTCACATTATTAAGAACAGAAGGAGTTTGCAATGAGTAAAAAAATCAAGGGGTTTTTGAACAGTTTTTAGAACAAAATTTTATTGGAAAAAAATATATAAGAACTATGGAAACTTCACTAGAGTAAAGCATTTCTGTGGGAGTTCTAATTTCATGAGATGCCAGAAGAGTCTCCAGTATCTTCAAGCTTAATGGAGATTGTTAGTTCAGGATAAGAAGAGAGAACACTGGGTGCTCTCGGGAAACACAACAGAACAAGTTGGGACTCTGAAGCACCAGTTCAAACTTAAGCACCTGCAGTTGATTTAAGTATGACTCAGCTGCTTGAGGTTAAATTCCCAACAAGCAAGATAGCCAGAAGTGGAGAAAAGTAGATCTTGTCCTCTTGTCCATAGATTCCCAGAGCAAGTATGAAGCCCTAGTTGCAAATTAGGCCCACTATTTGCTGCCTATGAAACAGGTTCTATGCACAGAAAAAAATGTGAAGGAGAACAGGTTGGAGATTCAGCCTTCTCTCTCCATCATCCTTAAACTCTAATGCTGCCACAATTCAGATAATCAAGGACCGTACATTTCCAGGCAAATGTAAGATTCCAGCCTGATTGAGGTAGGCTAGAGAACTGTTGCCATATCTCAGCTGCTGGCTGAAATAGAAATAGTTTTCCAAAAGAAGCCTAACCTAGGGCCTGCCAAAATTAGGGAAGACTCTCCTCTTTGGGCCAGTCCTTAATTTGATTATTTGGTTTGCAATGAGATTAAGATTATAAAATACCAAGTTTATTTAAGCTGAATCAGAGATTTTTTTTTTTTTCCAGGGTGGGGCAAAAGTAGGTTTATAGTTGTATGTGAAACACAGTTTATTTATATATTATTTATTAATTATTGCATTATTGTCCATATGAACAACTGTAAACCTACTGTTGCCCTGCCCTGTATTTATATTGCTAGAATAAAAGCTAATTCATAAACAGATGAATCAACAGTTATAATCTAACAAAAAATGTATAAGATCTATACAAGGAAAACTATAAAACTCTGATGAACAAAATCAAAGAAGCCTGGCCATGTGGCTCAGTGCTTGAACGTCTATCTACCCATGCACCAAGAGGTCACCGGTTCAATTCCCAGTCAGGGTACATGCCCAGGTTGTGAGCCAAATCCCCAGTGGGGGGCATGCAGGAGGTGGCCAATTGATTGTCTCTCTCATCAATGTTTCTATCTCTAAAATAATAAAGGAAAAAAAAATTTTAACCAAAGAAAATCTAAATAAATGGAGAGATAGTTTATGTTCACAAATAGGAAAACTCAATATTGTTAGAATGTCAGTTCTTCTCAACGTGATTTATAAACTGAATGCAATCCCAATCAAAATCCCAGCAGGTTATTTTGTATGTGTCAACAAACTGATTTTAAAATTTATATGGAAAAGCAAAAGACCCAGAATAGTCCACAAAATATTGAAGAAGAACTAGGTTGGAAGACTGACACTGCCTGACTTCAAGACATACTATAAAGCTACAGTAATCAAGACAGTGGAATTAGTGAAAACAGATCAATGGAACAGAATCGAGAGCCCCAGAAATTGACCCATATAAATACAATCAACTGATCTTTGACAAGGGAGCAAAGAAAATACAATGGAGTAACAATAGTCATTACAACAAATGGTGCTGGAACAAATGGGCATCCGTATTTAAAAAAATGAAGTTAAACAGCCTTCACAAAAATGAACTCAAAGTGGATGACAGACCCAAATGTAAAAGGCAAAACTATAAAACTCCTAGAATGGGAGAAAACCTAGATGGCCTTGATTATGGCAAAAACTTTTTAGATACAACACCAAAGGTACCATCTATGAAAGAAATAACTGATCACTGAACTTCATTAAAATTAAAAACTACAGCCTTGGCCGGTTTGGCTCAGCGGTTGGAGTGTTGGCCTATGGACCAGAGAGTCCCAGGTTCGGTTCCTACTAGGGGCATGTACCAAAAAATAGAAAATAAAAACTTCTCTGTAAAAGACAATGTCAAGAGAATGAGAAAATATTTGCAAAAGGCATATCTCAGCCCTGGCCGGTTTGGCTCAGCAGTTAGAGCATTGGCCTGTGGACCAATGAGTCACAGGTTCGATTTTGGTCAAGGGCACATACCTCAGTTGGGGTTTGTCCCCAACCCTGGTCAGGTAATACGGGAGGCAACCAGTCAATGTGTCTCTCTCACATTGATGTTTCTCTCTCTCCCTCCATCCCACTCTATCTGATGATAAATAGAAAAATATCCTTGGATGAGATTAATTTTTTTAAAAAAAGACATCTGTTATCCAAAATATACAAAGAAATCTTAAAACTCAACAATAAGAAAACAAGCAACTACTATAAAATGGCCAACAACCTTAACTGGTACCTCACCAAAGAAGACATACAGATATCAAATAAGTATATGAAAAGATGTGCCATGTCATATGTTATCAGGGAAATGCAAATTAAAATCTACATATCTATTAGAATGGCCAAAATTTGTCCTAGCCAGATAATTCAGTTGGTTAGAGTGTCAATCCAATACACCTAGGTTTTGGGTTTGACCTCCATTGAGGGCACATACAAGAAGCAATCAACAAATGCATAAATAAGTGGGACAACAAATCTCCCTCAAATCAATTTAAAAAAAAAAAAAAAAAAAGGAAGAATGGCCAAAATCCCAAACACTGACAACGAATTCTGGCTAGGAATTCTGATGCATTGCTGATGGGAATGCAGAATGATACAACCACTTTGGAAGACAGCTTGGCAGTTTTTTACAAAACTACCATATGGTCTAGCAATTGTGCTCCTTGGTGTTTACCCAAAGGAGTTGAAAACTTATGTCCACACAAAAAACCTGCATACAGGTGTTAATAGCCACTTTATTCATAATTGGTAAAACTTGGAAGCAATCAAGATATCCTTCAGTAGATGATTGTATAAATGGTGATACATCCCGACAATGTAATATTATTCAGCACTAAAAAGAGATGAGCTACCAAGCTATAAAAAGACATGGAGGAATCTTCGATATATTAAGTAAAAGAAACTCATCTTAAAAGGCTACATACTGTATGATTCCAACTATATGACATTCTGGAAAAGGTAAAACTATGCAGCCAATAACAAAGATTAGTGGTTGCCAGAGGTTAGAGGGGGAGGGGTGAATAGGCAGAGCACAAAGGATATTTAGAGTGGTGAATATACTGTGTATGATGGATACATGTCATTATACATTTGCCCAAACCCACACAATGTACACCAACAGTGAGCCCTAAAATAAACTATACACTTTGGGTAATTATGATGTATCAATGTAGGTTCATAAACTGTAACAAATTACCCCTCTAGCAGAGAACAATGGGAGAGGCTATACCTGGGGGGGGTGGGGTGGGGGAGGTATTTGAAAAATCTCTATACCTTCCTGTCAGTTTTGCTGTGAACCTAAAACAGCCCCCCAAAAATAGTCTTTAAAAACAAACACAAAATTCAGAAAGGCAAAATTTGACATGGTATTTTTCTACATTTATTTAGCTTTCTTTTAGGTAAGTAAACACAGTTTGAAATGGTTCATTATTAATAATTTTACAATTATCCAATTACAAACAAAAAGTATGACAACTTGCATAAATAATGCTTTCCATACTACTTTAAACATTTTAAGACAGGTTTTGAATTAGCATTGTGTTGAGCTAATGTTATGGATAGCTAGAGAGTTACCAAATTCCTAAACTACTGAAAAGGCTGAGTAAGTTTTAATTGCAACAATGTCATTATTAATTTTTACAAGTAAAAGAAAACTGCACTATAAGTGTGAGGTTCCATGGGTTTTCCAACAAAGAAGAAAAACTTACTGTGAGAAAGCATAAATCTATATAATTTAAATCAACTGGCTAATCACATTTTTAAAGGTTCATAAGGCATTGAAAATTCCTTAAGTAATACATGTTATCATAATATTGTCAATTATATCATTGCATATTCACATAGTACAACATGGTGCACATGTTGAATATCCCTTTTCTGTATCTGGTCATATTTGAACCAGTTTATATAAACTTGTAGCTGCTAATCTGTGTAGGTGCTCATCAAGCTACTTAACAAAGCAGTGCTCAAAAATGTGTAAATCTAATTTTGAAAGTCCATAACCCCTACTTTCAAATTCTTCTTTCCACTTCTGGTGAATATAATGGAATTCAGGCATTCATATCAATTGTAAAGTAAATAATAATGGAAGCAGAACACATGGAAAACCACATTTGGGTCTCTCAACCTAAAGTTCCCCGTCTACCTGACTAACATTGAGTCTTAAATACTTAATTCTACTGCTACCTGTCTCGAAAGTGTTTCCCTTTCCACAGCCTCTTCTGTAGACATTACAGCATGTAACAGTCCACTGTAATCCCTGGTTTTGACTGATACTTGTATTAGCAACTGAAGGCAGTCCTTTCTCTCATACACTTCCCAATCCTGGCAATGTCTGATACATGTTAGATGCTCAGCAAATGTTTGCTGAATGAATGAAAAAATGAACTAAACAATATTGATTCCAGATGTTATAAGGAAACATTGTAATTAGTATTTTATTACTTAAAACCATGTTTAATATCATGCAAAAAAATGAGAAAGAAAACTAATCATCTTAGTCTATTTCTAACATCAATACTTTAATCCTTACATTCATTTATATTCATGTACATAGTACTATTATTATAAGGACACAACGTATGATTAGCTTTTGGTACCTACTCTTCATTCACATAGTGATATTATTAATCTAGATTAGCAACAAAAGACAATTCATAAAGAAATGTGTCTCATGAAATGATATATCAATAAAACTAACGTTATGTTAATTTATTAACATAATAACATAACCTTAGGAAGTGATCACCCCAGTAGGTCTAGTAACCTTCTGACACTCCACATAGTTAACACAGTATTATTAACATACATCTATCTCTACTTTCAAACCAGGACTTTTTCATGATAAAAGCTAGATCTAATCATTTTTTAAATTCTAATATTCCTTTGGTACAGTAAACAAACCATAAAGCAAGAGTTTCTGCCAGTTTTAATAAATTAATATAACTATTTTCTGTTTCTTTCCCACATATGTTCTTACAGGTAAAATTCTTTTACAGTGAATTCCCTTAGATAGCCAAATTGACTGTTATTGCAAAGTCACTGTTAGAAATTATTATATATATTACATAGATTTCAGGACTAATTTGTTACACAAATGCTAGGCTTCAAAAAGTAAAAACCAGCATCTGAAATCTGAGTAAAAAGTGGTATGTGTGTGTGTGTGTATATACACACATATATAAATTCTATCAAGATCAGAGGTCACTGTGTAATATGGTACTTTTTATTTTGAAATTTATATGTAAAATTATGTAACTATCAGATAGTTCATTTCTTTTTCTCTGTCACAGTAATAAAGACTCCAACAAAGTACTTTCTATACTGGTTTATTCTTCATAATAAATCACTATTATAATTGATAATAGTGAGAAATTAAAATATCTGAACTTTTTAAAAAATACAGAGCCATTCTTGATGAACAGAATTTGCTTTAATGGGATTTCATCTACAATATCTTATACCTTAGGCAAGTAACCATTAAAACAAAGAAGTCAATGACAAACTGTTCATATAACTATATCACAGATCTTGGGAAACAGACATTCAGAAAAGATTTAAGGTTACCCAGGAATAGCCTCTTATACAACCCAACAAACCTTACCATTTAATTTGATTTAAAAAGGCCCAAAATATTAGTTTATGTGGAGCAAAGAATAAAATCTTCCACTGCTGTCATTTTTCTTTTCTTAGTTTTTCAATTAAATAATCAGCCTGTAATTTAAAAATACAACATATTTTTTATTCAAGGTATTGGAGCTGGTGTGAAATAATTCTACTAGCATAACTGTTATAATAAACCACAGCAGATGTACTGGATAATACATTACTCTCTTCCTAGAAGTATCTCACAAAAAAACTATATATAAGTGGAATCATATACCATTTGGTTTATTTCCCTGAGCATAATGTCCTCACAGTTCATCCATGTTGTATCATGGGTCAGAATTTCCTTCCTTTAAAAAAAAATAATTTTTCAAATACAGTGGACATATATTAGTTTCAAGTATTCAACATAGTGATTAGACATCAGTATACCTTAGGGAGTGATCACCCCAGGAAGTCTAGTAACCTTCTGACACTCCACATAGTTAACACAGTATTACTGACTATATTCCCCAAACTGTATTTTACATCCCCATGACTATTTTACAAAAATGTATTTTTAATTAATTTTTATTATAAAAGCATGGCTCATATAGAAAATTAGAGTATTTCTAAAAACGCCCATTTTAATCACACTAATAGTTTAGAGACCACACCAATTGTCCTGCATTATCTCCCACTATTTTATTTCAAATACACACATACATTTCTTAAATATATTTTTAATTAAATAAAGTTATCTAGACAAGTTGAAGAGAGGGACAATAAGTTTGAAATATGAAGTTTCTAGAAATCAGATGCTTTTGAATTTCTTATGCACTATGACTATAATAATAATATGCATTAACTAATGGTAATTATTTAATTTACAATTTGATTTACAATATTCAGAAATAGCAACTATAGATTACCTTATCATCATAGACACATAAAACAGGAGACTGGTAAAGTACTGGTCAGATGTCCCTGGAAGGACAGTCATTTAATAACTAAGGCTTGACTGTCTGGCCATAGGTCTATAAGCAGCTGAATTGTACTCTACTTTTGTCCTAGCATAGCAGAATTTTGCAATTTTTTAGGCTCAAAGCTTTAACCTCATCTGGTAGTGATGCTACTACTGCAGCCCTTTTTAAGAAGTTTAAACTGACTCAAAAATTACAAAATCTCAATTTCTACAACATTGCAATGAGGATAGAGGCTGCAAGTAACATTTACTGAGTATTTACTATTTGCAAGCTACAGTTTTAAGTGCTTTACATATAAATTATTTTATAAATTCTATAATCAATTTTATAATCAAAATTATAAATTATTTTATAAATAGAGGTAGATACTATTACCTATATGCAGGTAATAGATAAAGAACTTGGGACTTAAATTTAAGAAAGTTGCATATGCTCCCTCAAGTAACTAATGAAGCCAGAATTTGAATCCAGATTTGATTCTGGATTCTGAACTATTAATGCCATGGTTCTTCTATATCTCCACTTGCAATGGAGAGACTTAGCCAGAGCCTCTCTTCCTACAGATCTGATGACCTGGAAAATCCTGAAATAAAAACTATTATTTTGGATATGTGCAGGCAATATGTTAAAACAGATAATTAAGCCTATAAAAGCTGTAGCCAAGAAAAGAAAAACTACAAGAAAAAGGACAAATATTTTGAATATGTTTCTATGCTACTAGTATAACAATAACACTTACTGTGATAAACCAATAGGAATTCATTCTATAAACCAGTCTTGTCAAGAAGCCAAACTGATCGACTGGTGCTATAACATGAAGGTGCAAGTGGGAAATGGAATTGAATGGCGGCACGTGGAAACCCATTCTAAAACAGAAAGGTAAGAGATAATTGACAAATCAGTTCTACAATAGTGTAAAGCTATTTTTTCATGTTAAAACACATAAATATCAAGGAGATCCAACACAGGTTACCTAAGGTAGATTTCCAATCAAACATCTCTTTTATTGTTTTTCTTTATACACTTCAGACTATTCACACAGTTCCTCTTCACGATTAAGTGCACAGTAACATAAACTCTTCATCAAGGAAGGCCTTAACAGAATATTATGCCTTAGTATAACCTTCATGAATTCTGAGTTGGCATTTCGTCCTATCATTTTCTTTTCTTTCTTTATTTACTTTTATTTTTTATTTTTCTAATCCTCACCTGAAGACATTTTTTCATTTTTTGTTCAGATAGAGTGGGAGGGAGAGAAAGGAAGAGAGAGAGAGAAAAACATCGACGTGAAAGGGACACATCGAGTGGCTGCCACCCACACAACCCAACCAGGGCCGGGGACAAACTGCAACTGAGGTACGTGCCCTTAGCGGGAACCGAACCCAGGTCTCTCTGGACTGCAGGCCGATGCTCTAACCGCTGAGCCAAACTGGCCAGGCGCATCCTATCATTTTCAATCTTGATTGTATTAAGCTTTAATTCACCTAAGATATGCCTCTACAATGAATCTTGTGGGGAAAAGGAAAAAAATGAGTATGGTTCCATTATTCCAAGACATTGCCAGTAGATGGCGTGTTTTCTCCTTTAATAAAAGTCGTAAATTATTTCCTTAGGAACCTTAGTATTTCAGTAGTGAAATTAATTATATCATCATTTAAAAAAAAACCTTATAATCACTTAAGTTTATTGTTTAGTAATGAATAGTTAGATTATAATTATTCACACTCATCTGCTTTATAAAACAATTTTATAAAACATAATTTTCCTTGGACTAGCAAAACATTTTCTAGCCCTGGCCGGTTTGGCTCAGCGGTTAGAGTGTCGGCCTGCGGTCCGGAGAGACCCGGGTTCAGTTCCCGCTAAGGGCATGTACTTCGGTTGCAGTTTGTCCCCGCCCCTGGTTGGTCGTGCGGGTGGCAGCCACTCGATGTGTCCCTTCACGTCGATGTTTCTCTCTCTCTCTCTCTCTCTCTCTCTCTCTCTCTCTCTCTCTCTCTCTTCCTCTCTCTCCCTCCCACTCTATCTGTACAAAAAAATGGAAAAACGTCCTCGGGTGAGGATTAAAAAAAAACACTTTCTAATATGATTTAACCTCTTAAAAATCAATTTACAGTTTTGCAAGTCCACTTTTTCTAAGTGGAAGAAGGCACAGAAGTGCTATGCAGTGCTATGCTGTGTCACTATAGGACAATGTAAGTCAGAAATGCAACACATATTGAAAAGTTTTCACCACTACCTAGAAAAGGAGGCCAGGTTTTCCCTCTGTGAAATACGAATTATAATGTAGACTCAAGTAATCTAAAAGCTGGAAGAAACTCAACCCTTTCATTTTAAAGATGGAGAAGAGAAGCTCCAAAAAGTTTAAGAGACTTCTTAAAGTCACAATGTTAGGGAATGATAAAGTTAAGATTTAGGATCAGGGCTCTGAACTCCTAGTCCAATGTCCATTCTTGTAACAAACAAACAAACACTCCTATCACTAGGAAGGGAATGTGCTGCTTTTGGCCAAAGGATATCAAATACCATCTGTTCCTTGTCATTATTACTCTTGGGTAGATACTATCTTAGAGAGGTTAAAAGATTTGTCTAAAGTAACACAGCCAGTACGAGCACAGTGCACAGCAAGTAGCACAGATAGCATTAGAATTCAGATTTCTGTGAATTCCAGTTCAGAGGTGTCAGAAGTAATCTCCACCATACCTGCTTTGGTACTGCTTTGGTCACATAGGAAAAGTCAGAAATATTAAACGAACAAACAAACAACAACAAAAACAGCTGCCAAATTGAACACTTTGTGCTTTTGCTCAAACTTTGACAAATGGCCAGAGTTCAGTTCAACAGGCAACAAATTCAAGTTAATTTCATGCTAGAAGTATAATAATGTCATTTTAAATCACATAAGATATTTTCTAAGGAAATTCTATTTGTACACAGTTTTATAGAAATGCACATATTGAGCCCGGCCAGTGTGGTTCAGTGGTTGAGTGTCGACCCAAGCCCCAAGAGGTCACCAGTTCGATTCCTGGTCTCGGCACATGCCCAGATTGTGGGCCAGATCCCTAGTGGGGGGCATGCAGGAGGCAGCCAATCAATGTTCTCTTTCATAGATGTTGCTATCTCCTCTCTCTCTCCCCTTCTCCCTTCGTCTCTCTCTAAAATCAATAAAGAAAAAAATTTTAAAAAGAAATGCACATATTGAACAAGGAAAGGTGGACATGTAACTATTCTACCTCTCCACTGCTTAAATATACTTGTCTGTCCAAACTATACGTGGTAATTATTAGATGTTGAGACATGAGAGGAAGAAGTTTTTGTTTTGTTTTTTTGTGTGTTTTTTTCCATTAAATTTACACTACCAATGAACTGTATACTCACTTTTGGGAAAACTGCATTTAAATTATAAATTCTGCCAGTTCTGCTTTCCTTTCACATGAGGAAATAACATTTCAGAAAAAAACAACTGTGAATATTGATTTCTATATGGAAGTATACATACCTCACATTTGTGAAGTCAGTGAAATTATTCTTTTCAAGAATGGTTTTTCCAGCAGCAACCATGTCCTCAACTATAAAACAGGAAAGAAAGTACATTACACTATAGGAGACATTAAATTCACTACAATGTTATTAATCTTAACTTTTAGGGTCCTAGTAAAAAAATGTATCAAATGGGTAAACATTTAAAGACACATTCAATAGCTCCAAGTTACTAAGAAACTTGCTTATCAACAACTGAAACGAAGGTGCAATCCTTCACAACATATCACACACAGGCTGACTTTGAACAGCTATTGAGGGGCATTATCAAGTGGCTATTAAGGACATCTGATCCTACTGCAGTCTATTCTAATCATAAGGAGACCAAGTATTTAAAGAGTGTTGGAATTAAGGAGACAGGAAAACAATGAATTTATCTTTGAGCCCAAATTGGGGATTATGATATCCCTTTGTGTCAGCCCAGCCTTGACTAGCTAAATATCTGTGCAATTGTTTTGGCTTCCAAACTCTCTCTGCCTTAGCATCTTTATTGTCTCAGTGCTTTATGGCCTTCAGATAGGAATATGCCTCCTCATTAGAAACATTTTGGTAACCTGGCATCTTCAAAGCACAGCGACAAACTTTAGACTCTTTTGTTTTAAAGGGTGTAACTAACTGTTTAAGAAGGAAAGAAGTGAGAGAATTTACGGAGAATAGCTGTTATAATGAGGCTTATAAATTTGTTGCTAATGTTTGCTTCTCTAAGTCAGGTTTGAGTTGGGAGGCTATATATTCAAAAATAAGCTCAAATTACTTCAAGCCAGAGTGATATTGCAAAATATAAAAAGCTGTTTTACCTTTTAATCCCTTTAAAAACATATATGACTGTTGAAAACAATAATTTTAACAGTATTGTGGAGTTATAAAATATGTAGATGAAATACATATGACAACAATAATAACGTATTGCAAAGTTTTTTGCATTTTATATGAAGCGATACAATGTTACCTCAAATAGACTGTGATAATTACAGGATGTGTGTTTTAATTTTTTTCTTTATTGATTTTAGAGAAGAAGAGGGAGAGAGAGATAGAAACATCGATGAGAGAGAACATCAACTGGTCACCTCCTGCATGACCCCCACTGGGGATTTGGCCTACAAACTGGGCATATGCCCTGATTGGGAATCGAACCACTGACCTCTTGGTGCATGGGTCGACGTTCAACCACTGAGCCACAGAGGCCGGGCCAGGATGTGTATTTAATTTTTTTTTTTTTCTTTATTTACTTTTAGAGAGAGAGGAAGGGAGAGGGAGACACACTGATGAGAGAGAACATCGATTGGCTGCCTCCTGCATGCCCCTCACTGGAGGTTTGACCCACAACCTGGGCATGTGCCCCAACCAGGAATCAAACCAGCAACCTCTTGGTGCATGGGTCGATGCTCAACCACTGAACCACACCAGCCGGGCCAAGATGTGTATTTTAATCTCACTAGAGCAACCACTTAAAAATGTGAAGAGGACTACCTAAAGAGGCAAAAGATAAAGTGAAATACTAAAAAAAAAAAAAAAAAAATAGATTTGATCAACTATAAGAAGGTAGGAGAGAAGAAACAGGATAACAAAAAACAAATAGGACAAACAGAAAACAAATGGCAAGATGGTAGACCTAAATCCAACTATGTCAACAGTTACATTAATGCTTATGAACTAAAACCTCCCATTAAAAGACAGATATTTTCACACTACTTTTAAAAAAGGCAAAGACCCAACTATATTGCTATCTTCAAGTCTTTAAATATAAATATTCAATTTGGTTGAAAGGATAAAATAAGATAACCAGTGCAAATAATAATAAGAAAGTTATAGTTAAATACTATACAAAATAAACTCTAGAAGTATTTCCAAAGATAAAGAGGAACATTTTATAATGATTTTAAAAATATCAATTCATTGAGAAAAGATAACGATCATAATTATGCATTTACTTAAAATCAGATCCAAAATACAGGAACAAAACCTGTTGTCTCTTTTCTATTTCACTGATCTCTTCATTAGTTCCTTCTTTATACTTATTTGGGTCTGATTTGCTTGCCTTTTTCTAGAATCCTAAAGTGAAAACTTAGGTTGTTCACTTTAAACCTCCTTATAAGCATTTAAAGTTATAAATTTCCCTCTTGGCACTGCTTTAGCTGCATTCCACAAATTTTGATATATTGTATTTTTGTTACTGATCAATCCAAAATTTTGACGTCTTTGAATTTTTTATTTAGAAGTTATTCAAAACTGTGTAAATTTTAAATATTTAGTGCTGGTATAGACTTAATTATTTTTCTAATTTAATTCCGTTGTCATCAGAGAAGACTTTTTTTAATAAGATTTCAATGATCTAGAATGTATTCAGATATATTTTATTGTCTAAAACATGGTCTCTCTTGGTGAGCATGTGCTCTTCGCAAAATGTGTATTCTATAGTTAAAGGGAGTTCTATAAATGTCACAGTGCTTGATAGTGTTATTGAGCTCTTTCTTATGCTTATTATTTTCCAACTTTATAGACTGTATAAAATAGTAATTGCAAGAACTTTAAATTTTTTATTATGGACATATTAAAATGTACAAAAAATCAGAAAGATTAACATAGGTATAATAAAATTCCAAATACCCACCATGCTGCTTCAAAATTAGTAACATTTGATTTGCAACAATTATAAAAATTTTTAATAAAAAACTAGAAATACTAGAAAAAGAAAACTTCTCCCTTGTTAAGAAAAAATGGTATAAAAAGAAATATAAAAGTATAGAAGTACTTAAGCCTATGTAGTGGCTGTTGCCTGGTGTTACATATTGTATGTATGTTGGCCTCCACCTGTTGGTATGAGTGTGAAATGTATGGCTAGAATTTCAGATAACTAAGGAACTTACATTACGTAGAAAAAAACAGTTTGAAAACTGGTAATTCAGGGTCTAAATACTAATGAACTTCACACCAAGATTTTCTATCAAACAGATTTCTTATTCACCTTCAAAACATCCAGCCCAATTTATCTCTCTTGTCAGCTACCTAAAATTATTGACCAAACTAATCCCAAACCATGGTGACAAAGCAGATTGGAAATGAACTTTGAAATATCTTAGTAAATGATAACTGATAAGTCACAGAAATCATGAGGAGAAAAACACAGGATAATCTTATAAAAGACAAAATTCCGAATCTCCTTTTCAGATGCTAAAAATTCATCATTAAAGTCTCATAATTAAACTAAAATCTCATCTACACAGGAAACTATTAGGCAGGTACCAATACGGTCTCATTCTCAGGCAATTTACATATGCTATATCGTAAATTTTGTATATAATTTTTCATAGCGCCTTTCACTTTCAGAGGTAAGAAAAGCCATCATTTAAAAAAAACATAAAAAGCATTATCTTTTTAGAGACTTTAAAGATTAAATAAATCATGAGAAGGCAGGGTTCTTTGGAAAAGACAATAATGCTAAGGAAAAAAGAAGGCAACAAAAAAAGAGGAAGACAAAATATGAGCTGGATTGACTCCATAAAAGAAGCATGAGCCGCCCTCGCCAATTCAGCTTAGTGGTTAGAGTGTCAGCCAGTGGACCGAAGGGTCGGTTGTGGGTTCAATTCCCAGTCAAGGGCACATACCTGAGTTGCAGGTTTGATCCCCGGCCCTGAGCAGGGTCATGCAGGAGGCAACCAATCCATGTGTCTTTCTCATATCAATGTCTCTCTCTTTCCTTCCACTCTATCTAAAAATCAATGGGAAAATATCCTTGGGTGAGGATCAACAACAACAACAACAAAAAGCATGAGTCTACATGGAGCTGAGCAGGGCTGTTGAGGAGAACACACTGTGGACATTACCCATTCATAGGGTCACTAGGAGTTGGAGCCAACTCAGCGGCATGTAAAAACATAATATCTGGAGCATAATATCTGGGATTTGCTTCAAATTCACTATGGGAGAGGTTAACAGATGAAAAAAGATTGGCCGTGAGTTAATAAATGTTGAGGATGGGTGATGAATACATGGAGATTATACTATTTTCTTTGTTTGTGTATATATTTGAACTTTTTCATAATGAATGTTTCAAAAAGTCATAATGCTCCTTTTCATAATACTGGCTACACTTTTTCTTCTAATTGTCACTGCCATCACTGATCCCAATTCAAGATGTTAGAACCATGAAGAATACTGCCATCATCTTACCGAGTCCTATTTGCTCTTTCTTTAGAACTGTACAGTTTCCAATATGCTTCTTTGGCACCACCAGATAATGATGAGTTGCTGCTGGTTTGATATCTTTAAAGCAAATTAGGTCTTCATTCTAAAAAAAAATATATATCATTTGCTAGTGAATTTTTTAAAAGAAACTCAGTCTGATAGGAAAATGATACCTATGTTACAACTAAGCCCCATTGCACAATTTTGTGATTATGCATTAAGTCCATAAAGACAAGCTTTAGCTTCCTTCATGAGATGTTCATTTATTGAGGAGAATAAAAAGACTTATATAAAGTCAATTTCAGGCAAACAGTTATGAATGAAATTCACTAAAACTTTATTAAGTACCAACAATCTCAGAGTTTTGTATTTCACCATCTATTTCTCCATCTCTATCTACCCTAATATTTTTTCACTCTTAATATGTACTTTTAAAGATTTCACTACTGAATCCTAGCAAAATTTATACTTTTTTATATTTAATTTCTTTCCAAAGCAGCATGTTCCTCAATTATAACAAGAACATTAACTAGGATCTACATATCCAGGGGTTACATTTGAAACATTTTTTACAGAAATTACATACAAATACTTGTTATGTTTACTGCCACCTTATAGCATTAAAAAGCCTTTGAAATGCTCCAACAAACTGCAGTGTATGGTAATAAGTTAGGTGCCCAATCCATTACATGGGTTTCCTGCTTTACATAAGGTAGAAAAGCAAAGGAAACAAAAAAGAAAGTCCTTCCGTCTATTTACATTTGAGTTTCACACTTTTCCAAATTAAAAACCTATATTCCCTAAAAAAACCTTATTCAATTGTTCATATTTAAAAAACAAAACAAAACAAAACAAAAAAAACAGTCAAAATTAAATAAAATAAGTATCAATCAGCATAGGTTCCTTATCATTATCCATGCTGCTCATCAAAGCTTCAGGTGACTGACAAGTCGACCTCCAGTGAGAATGAGGACTTTTGTCTGCTTTAGCTCCCAGTAGAGCCGTAATTGAAATGGAAGGCAGCAAAAACAAGGTACGATGTAAGCCTTTCCTATCTCAAGGCTTCTATGAACTGCCCACAATATTACTTTAATAAAATACTGACTGTGTTGCTGTCCACACTTTCATACCTTCAATGTAGAAGCTGCTAAAATGTGGAGGCACAACAACACTAAAATCTTGATTATTTTTCCAGTTATTTAGTGTAACTTGCCTACAAGATGGTAGGGAGGGGGAAATACTGTTATTTTTAAGATCTTGTGGCAAACAGCGATGAGTCAACTGCATGTCTCTCTCACATCGACGTTTCTCTCTGTCTCTCTCTTCCTCTCTCTCTCCCTCCTGCTCCATTTAAAGATAAATGGAAAAATATCCTCGGGGGAGGATTTAATAATAATAATAATAATAATAATAATAATAATAATTTTGACTTTAAAAAGTGAACATTTAACATACATTTCTGGACTTAAAAAGGCGGGGGAAAGGTAGTCCACAAAAGTTGAAAACAAAAGAAACAAATGTACCTAACCGTATGTCATATTGGTAATATAACCACAAAAACAAGGTGATTTCAAGTGACTTTAAAATATAAAATTTTGACTATCCATCCCTAGTGACACCCTCTAAAAGAGAACTTTTAATTTGCTGCTTTCAATTCCAATCATAGGCAAGCTTCTCAAGTGTGAGACAGGCCATATTCATTTCTGAACACCAAATGAATCACACATAGTAAGCCTGCAAAACTGCTGAAAAACTAAATGACAGTCAGTTAAACAGAAAGATGAAGTTACCAGCACTCCTTCTTCACCTTAAAAACAAATGGGGTGTCACTAGGCTCTCAGATACTTTTCCAGTAAGAGACCTGGCTTTTTCATGATCTTTCAGTCTGCTCTTGCAAAACACCTTCTTAAAGTTGGAATTATGGCCATTGTTTGATTAGAACAGTCTTTCTCAACCTGTCCTCATTATTGCCCCCATAAGGTATGACTTTTTTTTCCTAATTGCCTCCTTCTCCCATGATATGATAACAGTATGGCTATATTGTGCATCTGTTTATGTCCTGTATGGTATATCTGTACCTTTGTTTTTAAATCCTCACCTGAGGATATTTTTCCATTTATCTTTAGATAGAGTGGAAGGTAGGGAGAGAGAGAAACATCAACTGGCTGCCTCCCGCATGACCCTGACAAGCCTGGGGAGCAAACCACAACCCTTGACCAAAGTACATGCCCTTGACCAGAATCCAACCCACGACTCTTTGGTCTGCCGGCCGACGCTCTAACCACAGAGCCAAACCGGTCAGGACAGTATATCTGAACTTTATATAAATGAAGAATAAACATTCTTCTGCCCCTGCTCCCAAACAAGAACATCAATTTTTACCCTTTTGGGAATGCATGGGTTAGACAAACAGCTAGTTTATCTGACTCCATTATCAGCAGGACCCTAACCATCTGGCTAAGCATTCACTTAAATACAACAAATAAACTGTGGTGAACAGGGTAGGTTGCCCCTCAACCTCCATCCCAAATACTTTTGTGCTTTCTGTACTATGGAAACTAAAAAAACTTAAAACCCCAGAAGGAATTCAACATCTTGTCAATTAGATGTACTTAGGATGTAGGTGCTTTGAAAAGCTGACCTGAGGCAAAGGTAGCCGCTGCTTCTGCCTCGTTAGCTCTAAGACTATAGAGACAGTTTTTTTCTTTCTCTCTTTTCCTCCCCATTCCAATGTCCAGTCACTAGCCTCCAAGGAGTGAAGAGACACCCATAAGACATCACTTATTTTTTTTTGTCAGCATGGACTACCAGTGTGGACCCAGCAGACTGAGTGTAGCTCTGAAGCAGTTCTGTTTCTCAAAGGGGGCCAGAAATATGTAGGTGCTCTTCTGGTCGTGGATGCTACTGGTACTTAACACCCAGAGGTCAGGAATGCAAAGCATTCTGCATAAGACTCCAACCCAAAAAGCCAATAGCACTCCCACTGGAAACACTGCGCACAAGCCGCAGTGATACTGCTCCCTCGCCTCGGAATCACAGGACAGAGAAATCTTTCTGAAGTTCAAGGTTCACTGGCAATCATCTGACTCCCACTGTCCTGCCCGTGGCAGAGGAAACAGCTTCCCAGTGAGCCAGTTCTGCAGTGCTGTTCTGGGTGTCATTCTTGGAGGCTTTTCTAGAACTTTGCAATGACTTTTTTTTTTTAGAAAATAATTATATTAAATCAATTTCTGCTTAAAATAAATAAAATATTTTTTCTTTCCTTCAACTAAACGCTGACTGGTATCTAAAGCAAATAAAAAGAAGTACCATTTGAAAAAACACTTCAATATCATGCCATCTGAGATGTCGGGCAATTTTGATTAAAGAAGGGGGAAGAACATTCAAGTTAAACTAGTATTTCTTTATTATGGTCTCAAACAAAGTGAAAATAAAAATCTAGCCCAGTGTATCTTGGGTATTTTTTCATTATTACCCTTGTAAATTCATTTTTAAGACTTTTTCCTTTTAATCCCACCCCCATATTTTAATCCCACAGATATGCTCATTACCTGTTTCTATGCCCTCTGCACATCTCTGCCTCATACATAAAAAGAATAAGATATTGCCCCTCAAGAACCAATTTTCACCCCCTTGGGAGTGATATCACCCTCACTAAGCATGCATAATCTAGCCTTTGCTTAGTTTTAATCCTTTAGTATTCAACAAGAAAAATGCCATAAATAGGTCTATGGGATGAGGACTCTTCTCTAGCTTTTGCCATCACTAAAGTTTCCCAGACTAACCACACACATGATGCTGGTAACTCAAATTATTCCAAGTCAGATTTTCTTTTTTTTTATCCTCACCCGAGGACATTTTTCCATTTTTTGTTCAGATAGAGCGGGAGGGAGAGAGAGAGAGAGAGAAACATCAATGTGAAGGGACACATCGAGTGGATGCCACCCTCACGACCAACCAGGGCCGGGGACAAACTGCAACCGAGGTACGCGCCCTTAGCGGGAACCGAACCCGGGTCTCTCTGTACTGCAGGCCGACGCTCCAACCGCTGAGCCAAACCGGCCAGGGCGCAAGTCAGATTTTCTCCTCTGCACATCATTATATGTATACTACCTTACTTTATATAAACATCATTTCTAAATGTTTACAATGAATATATTATCTACATAATGTAAAACATAAAATTAAACATTGAGTAATTATTCTCTTGCCAAAAAGATCGATCTTTAACCTTTAAGTAGTGAGCTCTTGTATATCAAATCATCTTTGATTCAATTTGAAAAAGACACACAACTTTTTGGAACACTATTGCACAAGTATGTGCATATTCTGTATTAAGTGGACTGTTGCACAGATTTATCCTGTGCCTCCTTTTCATGGTATAAATTAGTTTCAGCATTGATCATGTCTAATTTCCTCTATAAAAATGTTCCCAGACTCTTCATATAGTTTCTGAGCATATTTCTAACAAAGAACAAATCCTGACCTTTAGCTAGGAAGACAGCTCTTTGGAAGTCAGGGCAATCATACCCCCTCCCCATGACGATTTTTAGACAAAGCTTTCCACAACCACTATATCGATTTTCTATGTTTTCTTCAACATTGGTACCAGAGTGTACAAAATTTAAGTTGTTTCTGGGAATCAAAGAAATATTGAACTCTGCCAAGTTAAGAAACTCACTTTACCTCTTGCTAACCTAATTTTATATTTAGTAAAATAAAGAGTGAAAGAAAAGGCAGAGCTGGGTCCCTTCCAACTCCATGGATCGTTCAGTTTAACATCTGCTCAGCTGTGGATTTGTTTATCCCTACTTTACAGGTAGACAACTTATTTTTTCTCCCTGTCAGCTGCTCCGTCTCCACTTCCTTCCCACATTCAACATAGAGTTCATGGTCTGTATCACCTCGGCCAATCTTTTAGCCAAAAATTGTCTTTGTCACACTACCTTTCATAACACTCACATGGCCAGATGCCAACACTGGGTCACTAGACTTGGGCTGCTGCTAGAGGGATAAAAAAAAAAAATCACACAGCTGAGCAGACATTAAACTGAATGTCCTCAACCTCTACTGACCCTCATCACTATACAATAATCTATGTTTCCTTGATTCTCTTTCCTGGCCTCCAGAGAGGTTTCTTCAAATTTTTTACTTCTAAATAACCAGGTAATTTGCTCCTTCACCTCCTTCAAGCCTTCACTCAAATGACACCTTCTTAGTGCAGCTTTTCCTAACAAAAATTAAAAATTGCATTCTCTTGCCTTGGCCAGTGTGGCTCTTTTGGTTGGGCATAACCCCATGCACTGAAAGGTTGGTGGTTCAATTCCTGGACAGGGCACAAGCCCGGGTTGCTGGCTCAATTCCAGGTAGGAAGCATGCAAGAGGAAGCCAATCGATGTTTTGCTCTCCCATTGATGCTTCTCTTTCACTCTCTCTCTTCCTTTCTCTCTCTAAAAATCAATTTTAAAATGTTTTTAATTGTACCCCCTTAGTCTTTTACTTTTCACCATCTAACAAACTATTTATTTTACTTAGTATTTTGCTATTATCTATTGCCTGTGCCCATTAGGACAAGAATTTCTGCACTTTCTGTTACTGCTGTGTCCTGTTGTCTCCAACAGTACCTGGTGCAGAGAAGGCACTCATTCAAACACTGAGTGATGAATAAGTGAATGAGTATCCTCTTTCCTAAGGACAAAGCTCTGACTCCCTGGCCCATTTTAAACCTTTCTCCATTGACATCTTCCCATTAGGATTTAAACACACTGAACTCTTCAATGCTTTAAAAAGCTTTCTCTCAACCCCCAACTCCTCCTGTAGTTATCACTCCCTTTCTCTCCTCTCCAAGATGGCCAAACTTCCTTCAAAAGTTGTCTGTATTTGCTCTCTTCAATTTTTCATCCCCAGGTTCTTCTTGGTCAACTACAATCTGCCTTCTGCCTCACCACAGTGCTACAATAGAGCTCACAGAGGTGAATTTTTTGGAGGGACACAAGCAATTCTGATCTAACTTGGCCTCCCCACAAGCAAGTAGGAGGGTCACCTAACCCAGACTTGAGCATTAGGGAAGGCTGATATTGTTGCCAATTCTCTCTTCTGAACATACCCCCTTTTCTGAGCTTTCCTAGTTTCCCTTCTATTTCTTTGACTGTTCCTTTTCCGTCCTCTTTTCGGGTCCTTTTCCTCTGCTTCTCCCATCTAATATCAGTGCTCTACTTTAGGGTTCTCTGTAGGCTCCCTTCCTTCTTATTCTACACCTACTTCCCAGACCATCTCCACAATTCCTCTCTTTTTAATTTCCACCTATAAACTGGCCGTTCCCATAACCTGGGCAAGAAATCCAGATCTCTGCAGAGTGCCAGACTGTCTAACCATTCACTGGACATCTCCACTTAAATGCCTCAAACTCACCAACTCCAAAACCGAACTCATCACTTTGATCCTTCCCACCACTCTCCTGGCCATCTGCTCTCCTCCCGCATTCCCAATCTTAATGAACTGGTACCGGCACTACCAGTTTACCCTAGCCAGAAATCTGGAAGTCGTCCTTGACTTCCCCCCTTCTCTCTCTCATTCTCCCACATTGAAATCAGGGTTTCTCAAGCTAGGCCCTATAAACATTTTGGGACTAGATAATTCTTTGTTGCAGGGGGCTGTCATGTACACTGTATATTAGCAACCTTAGCCTCTACCCATTAGGTGCCAGTAGTCCTCCCCGAACTCACAGTTCTTACAACCAAAAGTGTCTCAAATCATTGCCAAAAGTCCCCTGGGGAGCTTTAAGAACCACTGATCTAGATCCATCAACAAGTCCTGCCTGGTTTACCTCCTAAATATCCTTAAATGGATCCACTTTTCTTCATCCCCACTACCACATTCTTATTTCAGGCCATTATCAAACCAGATTACTTCAAAAGCCCCCAAAAGGTCTCCATACCTCCAGACTGGTCTCCAATCTACACAAGGGTGCCAGAATGATCTTTCAAAGATCAAACCCCTTCAGGTAACTCAATCCCTTCCCCCAACCCAGTAGTAAACATTGTGGGACTTCCTTTCACTGTTCAAAGGTAAAACTCCTTGAAATGAATGACAACACCCTTAATAATCTAGCCTCTTGTCTACTTCTCCAGTCTCGTCTTTCACCTCAAACTTTATACTGCAGTTAGACTGAATTTCTGTCTGTTCTCCCATGGCACAAAATGAGCCTCTGGAGGTTCTCTCTACCTAGGGCCTAGGTCCTAGGCCATTATTTGCTCACCTGGCCAACTCCTACTTATTTCTTCATGTCTCCTCTGAAAAGAACTTCCCTGACCCTTTAAATTTGGGTTAGATGCCCCTCCCACAGGCTTGCAAAATATCTCAAGTGATTAAATCATGGCAGCATAGCACAAGGCACTGCAATCAGCTGCCTCCTGGGTCTGCACTCATTCCTCCCTGCAGGGTGTAAATGTGGGCGGGGCTAGCGTTTATCTTACCACTGAATCTCCAACACTCAGTGCTTAGGAGGAATTCAATTTGATTTTAACAAATGTCCTTGCAACCGCCGCCACCGCCTTTGGATTCTGTTTTGGATTCTCAAAAGGTTGTTTCTTTAAAGGCTGTAGAACCGTCAGAAAGTGCACCAGATACCTGTTTTAACATATCTGGGCAAAAGCTAGTGCTCCTACAATGTGCACACATTCCAGCTGACAACACTAGGAACTGGACCCTCCCGTGGAAATCAGAGGCTGCCGAGCAACAGTTTGACCACAGATCTACGCTTGTTGTCAATCTAACAACAAGATATCTTTCCACAATTACTACGATCAATTTTCTACTCGTTCTCGCCTCGGTGTCGGTGTCGGTATTGGCGTGTACAGGACTTAAAGGCAGGGTTTAGAAAGGCGGGGGTGGTGGGTCCTGTAATGAAAGCAGAGGCCGTAAACGCGACTGTCTGCCCAACACCCCGTGGCCGCAGAGACCGGCAGGGGGCCCGTCTGGTTCCCGCCATCTCCTCCGCGAACAGCCGCCCGCGCCGAGGGCGAGTCTGTCCTCAGCACCAGGGCGCCCAAAGCCCCGGCGCCACCTCGCAGGGCCCCCGGCTCCCGGAGCCGCAGGGGCGTCGGTCCCCGCCCGCGCCGGGTCGCTGGTCGCCGCCCACCTCGCAATCCAGGAGCTCGGTGCCCGGGTCCTGCTGCCCCGCAATCCGGCAGAACACGCACTTGCTGTCGTAGTCTTTGGGCTCCGACGGCTCTGGGGTGACCGCGGCGGTCTCCGACGAAGACACCGTAGGTTTTGCAGTCGCCGCTGCCTCGAAGCTGAGCACTGATTCCGCCTCTGCCTGGCAGCTGGTATCCGACTCCACGTTACTGAGCGTCGGCTCGTCTTCCATCGCACCTGCTCTCCGCGGCCTGAGCCTCGGGTTCTCCGGGACCACTGGGCCTAGCCCGAGTCCGCCTCCTGCACCTTCTCGGTTTCACCTCCAGGCGTCGCCCCTCGCTTGGCACTGGGCGGAGCCCAGTTGGGCGCACGCGCTGATCCAGGCTGACGCTAGAGGGAGGGCGACACGGTACTGGGCCTCAAAGCCAGCGCCTGGCCTCGAAGCCTGTGGCCACGAGGGGGCGCGCGAGTATGCGAGTATCCCAGGGCACTGCTGGGAGGAGCCGGTGGCGGCATGGGAGTTGCCCTGCCCTCTGCGTCCCGTTGGTAACAACGCACGACGTCAGCCGAGACGCAGGAGCGCGTCTCGCGTGGTGGTGACTCGCCAGCGCCACCTAACGCCTGGCCAAGCTAGATCCCCTAGAGACCTAGACCTTCTTCCCCCAAACCTGTGACATACAATGCCCCAAGAGCGTATTACGCTGCCTTATAAACAAAGGTTTGCTTTCTTAAAAATTCGTAGGTCTTAAGAGAAAGCACAAAATTTCTAGAGCTTACTTTTCCAGACAGACCATGTTGTATGCTTTTGCATGCATTTCTCAGCCCAGTCATTTTAGGTGCTTAAGATGAAAATGTCCAAAACTGAACCTCACATTTGTTTTCTTTTGTTAGTGTTGTTCACAGCACCAACTAAATCAAGTAGCAGCCTTGGGCTCACGTTCCGCATACACAGGTAGTCTGTAGTTTATAGTCTGAAATGTCACAGAAGTTCACTACCAATGCCTCCTTATCCCTCGCCTCCACTGCTGCAATAACCTTGTGACTAGTTTCTCTCCTCCAGGCTCCTGTCACTCAAACAAAACCCTTCAGTAACTATCTACCCAAAGAAAAAGTACCAGTTCCTTAGCTTGGTATTCAAAGTGGACTCGGATTTGACCTCAACTTTTCTTTTTATTTTATTTTTTTATCTTTATTGTTGAATGTATTACAGATGTTCCTCATTTTTCCCCCATTGACCCCCTCCTCCCTACTCCCGCACCTCCCGCCCCCCTCCTGCCTTTTCCCACACTGTTGTCTGTGTCCATTGGTTACATATGTTTTTTTGGTTTACTTCTTCCCATCCCTGAAGCCCCCTTCCCTTTGAGGTTTGTCTGTCTAGCAACCAATTTGTACTCTGAATATTTGCACTTAATCCCTTCACCTTTTTCCCCCATTCCCCCAAATCCCCTCCCATCTGGAAACCAACAAAATGTTCTCTGTATCTATGAGAATGTTTCTGTTCTGCCTGTTCATTTTGTTTGTAGATTCAACTGTCGATAGATATGTATTCATTGCCATTTTGTTTGTTCATATATTTTATCTTTTTCTTCAAAAAGACCCTTCAACATTTCATATAATAACCATTTGGTGGTGATGAACTCCTTTAACTTTTTCTTGTCTGGGAAACTCTTTATATGGCCATCGATTCTAAATGATAGCTTTGCAGGATAGAATAATCTTGGTTGTAGGTTCTTGCATTTCAACACTCTAAATATTTCTTGCCACTCCCTTCTGGCCTGCAAAGTTTCTTTTGAAAAATCAGCTGACAGTCTTATGGGAACTCCTTTGTAGGTAATTATCAGCTTTTCTCTTGCTGCTTTTAAGATTCTCTCTTTGTCTTGAACCTTTTGCATTTTGATGATGATGTATCTTGGTGTGGGCCTCTTGGGGTCCATTTTGTTTGGGACTCTCTGTGCTTCCTGGACTTGTATGTCTGTTTCCTTCACCAAGTTAGGGAAGTTTTCTGCCATTATTGTTTCAAATAGGTTTTCCATTTCTTGTTCTCTCTCTTCTTTTTCTGGCACCCCCAAGATGCAAATGTTGACACGCTTGAAGTTGTCCCAGAGGCTCCTTACACTATCCTCATTTTTATGGATTCTTTTTTCTTTTTGCTGTTCTGATTGGGTGTTTTTTGCTTCCTTAGATTCCGAATCCATGGTTTGCTTCTTGGCTTTACCTACTCTACTACTAAATCTGTGTAAATTATTCTTTATTTCAGTTAGTGCCTCCTTCATTTCTGACTGGTCCTTTTTTATGCTCTTGAGGCCCTCACTAAGTTCGCTGAGGTTCTCACTAAGTTCATTGAGCATCCTTATAAGCAGTATTTTGAATTCAGTATCTGTTAGGTTGTTTATCTCCATTTTGCTTAGTTTTTTTTTTTTTTTTTCCTGGGGTTTTGTTCTGTTCTTTCGTTTGGGACCTGTTTCTTTGTCTCCTCATTTTGGCTGCCTCCCTGTGTTTGTTTCTGTGTATTACTTAATGAGAGGTATAGGGCTCGCTGAGACCAGATGCTGCTTGTTTGAAAGAATTTACAAAAACCTGAAGCAGGATCCGGGACAGGCCAATCCTATGGTTAACCAACTGGCAACAGCTTCGGTGGGCCTGAAAGTTGGGTGGGGCGGGGCCTCAGGGAGTCACCAAGGCGGGGCTACCAGTGTGAGCCAAGTTGCTGGAGTCCCAGATATGGCTTCTGTTTGCCGCCCCAGGGAAGGGCTCACCAAAGGAACAAATGCCTCTGATAGCACATTCTTCCCGGAGAAAGGCCCCTCTCCAGCCCTCACTCCAGTGCCAAAGAGCTCTGTTCTTCCCTGTATGTCTCTGGTGCCCCTCGAGCTGCCTCCCCTCCAAGCTTAGAGGGAGAGAGTCCGATAAGTCCGTGCGTGGGCCCTTTAAGAGGAGCTGCCTGGGGCTCCAGCCGCCTCAACCTCCCTGAGCTTCAGTTCCCGCTGGTTTTTCCAGCCAGAAGTTATGGGGATTCTCTTCCTGGCACTGGAACCCTGAGTCCAGGGCACCTAGTGTGGGAGGGGGGCCTCTCAGTCCTCAGGGAGGACCTTCCCAGCTGAGGTGTCCTCCTGATTTTTATCTACCACACGTGGGTGTGGGACCAGCCCCTCGCGCCTCCGCCCCTCCTACCAGTCTCCATGTGGCTGCTGCTTTAATTCCGCAGTTGTAGGACTTCCACTCAGCGCAATTTCAGGCGGTTTTGAATGATGGTTGTTCTGCAGTTTAGTTGTAACTTTGATGTGGTTGTGGGAGGATGCGATACCACGTTTACCTACGCCGCCATCTTGACCGGAAGTCCTGACCTCAACTTTTCATTCAATGGTACTTGGCTTTTACTGAACACCTAAAATGTGGCATGTGTTTCTCGAATCCTTAACACAAGCTAGGTTGGTTTAATAATTTGCACTACAAAGATGAAGAAACAAACTCAGACTTGTCCAATACTAAACACAACTAATCATTGATAGTGACAGAGTTCAGATAAAGGCTTCTCTGACTCCAGAACCCACCAGTCTTTCTGAATACAAAACTTTTTTTTTAAACACTGAAATTTTTCTTTGACTAACTTATTATAGTAGTTGTACCCTTGGGATTTGTTAGTTTAGAAAACATATAACAAAGTCCCATTAGTAACTTCAGTAATGTTTTTGAATGAACCAAAAGCATTTATATATTAAAAGTAGTTGTATGTATGTGTTCAAGACATTTTTCATTCCTTTTTCAGTTTGCCAGTGATTTGAGGAACAACAATAATAACTTCATAGCCCCTCAGGAGCCCAAGGCAGGGTTCAGGATCAGCACATTACTTTTCTCAATGTAAGTATCCACTATTTCCATGCATGCAATACACCTTCACATGTGTTCTTATCCATGCTTTTCCCTCTGTTTGAAATACTGTTTCCATCTCTGTACATCTCAATTCCACCCTCTACGCCACTCAAATGTTACCTCTTTCATGAAGTTTTCTTTAATTGACCAAACTGAAAAAAAATGCTTCTCTTGTGAATTCACACAGCAGTTTTCAATACTTGTAGAACTTATCACTTTGTATTATACACTATTTATCTACACATTTTTCCTATTAGAAATTATGTTCCTTGATAAAAAGAACAGGTGTCTTTGAATCTCCCATAGTGCCTGATACAGTGCTTTGCATGTAGGTAGACACTTAAAATTGTCTAATGAATAAAAGAATAATTGGGGTAAGGTTGCTGTGTAGACAACAGCTACCAGTAATACTTTCATCACTTTCTCTGCTCCAGCCACACTAGACTGCTTGTTGTTACTTGTGCAGCTAGGCATGGCCCCACATTTGGGTCTCTGCAATGGCTGATCCTCTGCCTAGAACACATTTTCTACTATTAGTCATGCAGATTATGCCTCTCACCTCCTTCATGTCTTGACTCAAATGTTGTTCCCTGATGAGATCAACTCTGACCACTCCGGCAACTTACCTGCTTACTTGCACCCCCAACACTCCCTTCTCCTTTACTTTCTTTTATTATTTCCATCATATCCATTACATTCTACATATTTAAATTTAAATATGTAATATTATATAGTAATATTATTATATATAAGTATTTATAAATATTGCATATTTAGCTTACTATGATTATTATTGTCTGTTTCATTCTCATTGACTTTAATCCCAACATAAATTTTTATCATTTTGGGCTGTTATTAGTTCATGTAGCGTCTGATATACCAAATGTAATCAAGGTCAATGCCAAGATTCTTAGACTGAAAACTTCAAGGTTGAAGCTGTTATTTACTACAATGGGAAACTCTTGAAAGAGCAGACTTGGGGCAGGGAAGACCAGACAGTCAGTTGTGGATATATTAAGTTGAGATGCTGTATCAGTCTGTTTAGACTGTGTGTGTGTGTGTATGTGTGTTTGTGTGTGTGTGTGTTTTGTAGGAAGCAACTCCAGTTATCTTAATGCCTTAAAACAAAAAGCTTTATTTCTTGCTCACGTTTGTGTCCATTGCATGTTGGCTCTAGCCATGCAGACTTCATCTCATGACTCAGCTGAAAGAGCAGGGATGTTTCTGGTGTTAGAACAGAGAGAAGAGAGAACACAGTAGAGCTGCCTGATGACCCTTAAGCCTTCTTCTCAGAACTGGCACATGTCACTTCCATTCACATGTCATTGACCAAAGGAAGTCACCTAGCTAATCCTGGCATCAACAGAACAAGGTTAAATGTAATCTTAGGACTGGAAAACGCAAAATATATTTTGAACACTGATGACACAATCCATTGCAGATGCCTATT